AATTAATTGTTTATGAATATTTACATGATTTGATAAATTATGATATGATGTATATTGATAATGATGAACTTAAAAATTATTTGAATGATGTATTTGATGATTATAATAATTAACATAATAATGATCTTAATATAAAATATACTTAAAGAAAAAAGACCCTATAATAGTATAGAAAGATGGACTACACTACTTTGAAAACATATAACATGCAAATGAAATATATTAAAATTATTTATAACATTAGAAAAAATGAGAACGTCTTAAAATTCAAACAACATGATCTGAATAAACTAATGGAAGTTCACAAAGATATAATGGATGAAGAAGACAAGGAAAACATTTTCAATGATATTAAATATATACAAGATAAACTTGAAAAAGATGAACTGAATATTAAAAAGTATGCAACACTCATAGAACATATTGAAACATTAGTTCATTGTGGAGGTGAAGATCTAAAATATTTAGAGAATAAACCACATCCTGAAACTATTAAAAAATGGATTAAAATGTCAATAAAAGATTTTGAAAAAGAATATGGTGAAAGTTTAAAATAAACTTCAAGACAAAACCCCTAACAAACGTTCATAATAAATTTTATTATGAATATTTGATAAAACGCTAGAGGGTAAACGACCCTAGAAATCTAGGAATTATGATAATCCCTGAAATTATGAATAAAGGTAGATATTTCAAAAATGTAATATTTTTCTACTTAAAATGATAAAAATTTGAATTTATATTTATGTAAAATGAATAAGAGACCTATAAACCTTAGAACCAACCCCAAAATTCAAAATCCAATATTTTTGAAAATCCCCTAAATTTTGAAAAATAAAAATGAATAAGGTAATTTTCAAAAATGAGAAAATGAATGAGGTAATTTTTCATGGTAAAAATGAATAAGATGAATAATAAAAAATAAATTGTAATATTTTACTACTTAAAATAAAAAACCTTACAAATCATTTTATTAAAAATGAAATAGGTTAATAAAATGATTTTTTTGAAGATTTTATATTATAATTATGATAAAATGAATGAGGTTAATTGTATAAATTGATATGTGGGCGCCTGTGGTGGAAACCCTAGAACCAACCTTTCTACAATTTTTTTCCCTGTGTCCTCCGGAAAACCCATGAGGCGTAGCTGTTCCACCGGAGAAAGGTATCCTGGGCTGGTAAACTCCGACAGGTATCCTTCTGGAGCTTACGATGAGGTTCACGTTTTCGAGACTCATATTGGCATGAGGATATGAAACAAGGTAGTGGGAGATGTTCTGCTGTGATCATAGTCCGGAAGCCTAGGAAATCATGCCTGTGAAGTTGCGACTCCTGCATCAACCTACCTTACCTCTGACTCCTGAGAGCATGCCTGTCTAAGGTACCCGAAGATCATTCTAAACCCTAAACCCTAAACCTGGGTTTAGGGTTTAGGGTTTAGGGATCAGTCTCTTCCAGCTGAGGAAGACAGGGAGTTGGTCGAGCCTTTCACACCTCTCACTCAAAGGGTAAAAGGAAGGACCCCTAATAAGGACCCCTAGGTATATACCCATAATTTAGCCATTATATACCCATTATATAGCCCATTAAAGGGTAGGGGTCCCCATTAAGGGTCCCTCCTTCTCCCCTTTGACTCACACCTGAGCCCGACACCAGGATAAGGACATTCAAGTGTAGGGAGTGTAGGGCCTTCTATGCGGGAGCAGAGTCGGACACTTCAGCCGTAAGTGTCATGTCTCTATAAGTATGTATGTGTGTATATATACATGTCTGTTTATATGTATGTATATATATATATATATATGTATGCATGTATGTATGTATGCCTATGTATGTATGCATATGTATATATATATATATATATATATATGTGTATCTATATATATACACACACACAAGTTTATATGAACACACATGATAAACATCAATATACAGTCATGTGTAAGTGTGACATATACACGCACAGGCACACATGTACTATGTACGTAACGTATTTCTATCTGCACACACTCTGATGCATCAAGGATGGGCACACGTGCATGCACGTTCTCAAAGGATCCCTGTCCCCACGTGCCTTGATGTACAGGGAAGGTTTAGCCCTCAAGAGGAAGTCCTACATCCCAAATCCCGAATGCCGACTTCTCGAATCCTAAACCCTGGACCTTAGACCTAAACCTCTTCTACCGAATCCAAAACCCTAATACAGGGACCTTAATAATTAGAATAGGGTTTTGGGGCCCACTATACTATAAATGTATAAGGAACACCCCAAAATTGTGTAGGCAAGTAATTAAAGCCCTATACTAAACCCTAGACCAGAGCCCGACAAGCTCGTCCTGAATCCTCAAAGCCCTTGTAGGAAGATTTACAGTCGAACCCCAAAACGTAAACCGGACTTAGACCCCTAAACGTACCTAAACCCTCCAACCACCCTCTCATATACCCCCAAATACCCACTACGGGCCACAAGGGCTCTCTTAAAGGGCCCTTGCGGGGTGCTGGTAGCTACTCTTGTTGGTAAACTGCCTCGTGGTCTGATTCGTATAGCATCTCGACCATACAGCAGGGAGACTACAACCCACCAACCCTAAACCCTTAATCCTAAACCTTAATTCACCCAGCCAAACAGCGCACTTTGACACCTTCCCTCCAGACGTGGTCTGTCGCAGCGCCAGGCCCGTAGCCTGGGTTGGGCGACCCTGGTTTTGGGGCTTAGGGTTTAGGGTTTGGGGCTTATGAGGATCTACATTCGAACCTTCCTAAAATACAAAGCCCAAAGGGTCCAAGTATCATTATGGTATATACTTAAAAGGTATTTCGGGGGTCTAAGTATATACCATAATGATACTTGCACCCTTTGTGAAGGACCTGCATTCTTCCTTTTGTTCCGCAACCCTTCATTGCGGAGGCATGCGAAGTCTGTTTGGAGAGAGAGTCCTCCTGCGACTGCCCTGCCACGCCCTGTCGGCAGATCTCTTGCAGTGTTCTTCTAGCTCGATTAAGGGTTTAGGATTAGGGTTTGGGGTTTGGGGTGCCTAATGCTTGAGGTCACTTCGGAAATCTCACCGGGGTTTAGGGTTTAGGGATTTCATAAACCATAAAAATTAAGGGGTTTGGGAGTCTCTGGGCTGTATAGGTATATACTCGGTTCCTGAATGTCCCCTGCATCATAAGGGTACCCGTTGTTGGGTGTTACCAACGGGAAAAAGGGTATATTAGAATAGCCGTCCGCTAGAGGGGTTCCTTTGAGCCTTCTATAAGCGGGTTGCTATACGCATAAGGTAGAAGGGTTACTATATGGCCTTTTTGAAAGGTTTAACATTAAGGACAACAGGGTTACTCTGTTACTCTAAGGGCTTTCTGAAAGGTTTACCATAGGGGCCACATGATTTTAAGTGTGCTTTTGGTGGTTTGTAACATGATCAATATACAGCAGAAGCCTAAAAGTTGGAAACCCGATAGCCTCAATCCCTAAGAGCAAAGCAAAGGGAATCCCAGCACGATTTGTCCTTAATTAGGTTTCCAACTTTTTGGAGTTTACAATATTGGTATAGGAGCCGAGGGCCCCAATGCAACCCAGATCTTTCAACACACCTTAATTCGGGAATTAGCCTTACACCCCGACCAAACTACTACCAGGATTTGAGGAGTGTTCCTCAGGTAAAAGATGTTGGAAGACTGGGTAGAAAACTTATACATACAGATGAGAGCTGCTATGAGATCTACCAGGATGGATAGTTGACGCACCGCCAAAGCAAATATGCACACAGAGACACAGACACACACACACACATGTCAACCATCTTAGGCTTTGTTTCGGGTTGAGGAGTCAGGAGTCTTTAGGGTTTGGAGTTTATTTGCCCGGACAGTGCAAGCAAGACCTGTACAAATGAGGCTTACGTTTTACAGGGTTCTTCCCACCTGCCCAAACGGTGGCAACCCATCGAAACTCGGCAAATGCCATCGCTGTACCCGAAACCCCAACAGACTCTAAACCCTGAGCCAGAAACCTTTATTAAACCTTAAAAGCTGCAAACATTCAGCCTTGTGGAAACCCTGACATACCCTGAACCCTAACCCTAAACCCCCTAAATCCAAACCTTAAATCCTAAACTCCTAAACCTCACAAACCCTGAACCCACCTCCTAAATAAACCCCAAGGACAAACTCAAATCAGCCGAGGGGTCCCTGGTTCGACAGCTTTGGACGCTGCTCCAGAGTGGTTGCATCCTCCTGTTATGCATGGGTTTAGGGCTTAGGGTTTTTAGGGTTTAGGGTTTAGGGTTTAGGGCTTACCTGCGGATCCAACAAACCTAAGGTTTTTAGGGTTATACCCTTCAGGGGTCATAACCTACTATTTTTGTAGCGTTTGGGGATACAGGTACGTGGTAGGGTGTAGAGTATATATTTCAGGTTTAGGGTTGTAGGGTTTATCTATCACCCGACTTAGGTCTCACAGTCTTTATTTCGAGCTTAGGGTTTAGGGGGATGGGTTTGGTGTTTAGTTTGGTATATAGTCTTGGGTTTAAGGCTTGAGGGTTTAGGCGCTAGGATTCAAGGAGGTAGCTGTACCATGGTGTTGAATGTCTGGATTTCCTGCCAACAGCCCGTAATTCTCAACCCTAACCCCCAAGCAAACCCTTCTCGACGGGGAGCCTCTGGGATCTTGTGTGAGGGGCTTCCAGTGCCTCATATGTTGAGTTAGAGCGAACTTTTGTCTGGCGGTAGTATAGTATAGACAAGGAGAACGAGAGAAATAGAAACATGGAGACGCAGGAAGGCTGGACGAGACACAGAGCAACCACACAAGAGAGAGAGAGAGAGAGAGCAAGCACCCAAACAGCTGCGGAGACAAGGGTTTTGGGCTTTCTTCCTAGGAAAAACACACCAACGTGCCCGTGTAGCTTCCAATCAGGGTTTAGTATTGAGGGCATCGGGCTGACATAAAGTGGGGTAGATGCAGCACGACTTCGGAGTAGCTACTCTGAACCCTAAGCTCTAGCAAGGTGATGTCCGAGCGCTTTCCTCGTTCACCAGGACCAGAGGGGAGTGGCCAAAGGGCAGTCGGCCATTTGCCTCCGTAGCAAGCTCCGTCAGTGTCTGTATACAGTAAACCCCAAAAAGTTGGAAACCGGATTAAGTCCAAATAGTGCTGGGACTGCCCATGCATTACTCTTAAGGATTGAGGCTATGGGGTTTCCAACTTTTGGGCTTCTACTGTACAGCTTTTCGTGCTCAAGCTGAAGTGTTTAGGATGTTGAGGTGTCGGGTGGGTTTTGGTTGACCAAGAGCAAAAAAAACTTAGGTCCCGGATGCCAATAATTCTGCGTTGCAGAAAAGACCCGAACTTCCAAAAGCGGTCGCTTGATTGTATCCGGCTTGTCATTGTTGGGGATTATAGTATCCTTATGGGAGGGGGCTCCAAGGGGGGTAGATAACCTACTAATCCCTAGTTCTCTCTGGTGCTCCCTAAGGTTCCCTTATGGTTTCCTAAGCATCCCTTGTACCCTCCCCCCGAACTACCCTCCCTTAAGGACCCTATAAGGGGAGGTTCCGGCTCTTCAGGGAGTCTGCGGCATTCTTTCGAAAACCATGAGGGTTTAGGGTTTAGGGAAAACTTTCCATGCTGCCAGCGCCAGACCAAGAGAATCGCTGTGAGGGGTAACATGCAGAAGCAGGTCAACATAACCCTAATTCAATTTTTGATCATGGATCCCTATTTGCTGCTTTGGGCCCCCCGGGCTTTTTGACTGAAGCGAACCCTTGAAGCTGAGATTCTGTTAGCCTGGACCCTCAACCTTGCACTTTACACCTCTCGAACATCAACTAGAGGGGCGCGCCGCAGGAATGCAGCAAAACCCTACAAGGTCATGCAGAACTAACTCTACTAAGCAGGGACGCCAGGCTCCGTTTCAGCTTCCCAACATCGGAATGTCGCATAAACCCCAGGTTTTCCTAATGCCTAACATCCCCCCCCCGCCCCCCTCCCAACAAAAAACAAATAGCCCCGTGCAAGTCGAAGGCGTTTAGACTAAATCGATCCAATGTTAACGCACTTCTTGCTCTTGAACTGGCTTCGGGTTGCTTCGGGGACTTGGATCGGCCCGCTCGGGACTGAGACTATCGGGCAAAATACACCCGAAGCACAGAACCAAACCTCAGCGACACCCTAAACCCTGCCTGTAGCCGAAAAGACCTACCTTTTTAAGGAACTATATCTAAAAACCATAATAAGGAACCCTAAAACGGTAGGTCTTTCCGGCTGCAGGTGGACCCTAAACCCTAAACCCCAAATCCTGAACCCTAAACCCGAAACCCTAAACCTTAAACTCTAAACCCTAAACTGTAAACCCTAAACCCTAAACCCTAAACCCTAAACTCTAAACCCTAAACCCTAAACTCTAAACCCTAACCCCCCCCCCCCAAGAGAGGCTTCGCCTTTGTGAGGCAGGCACTTGTGGTGTCTGTTCGCAGATGGATGTCGTAGCGCTGATCCTTTCGGGTCAGCGGGGGCCATGCTATAGGGGGCACTTCACATGCCGGTGCCGGTTTAGGTTTTAGGTTCTAGGGTTTCGGTTTTAAGGTATCCAAACCCAATCAAGCCGCTAGGAATAGGGTTTAGGGTTTAGGTTTTAGGGTTTTAGAGTTTAGGGTTTAGGGCTTAGGGTTTGTTTTAGGGTTTAGGGTATCCAAACCAAATCAAGCCGCTAGGATGCCTTATGCGTAATTACCCTTACTGGGAATCGGAACGCATGTTTGTAGGATGGGGTTTCGGGTTTCGGGAGTCAAGAATGAACTCATTATCTACCCACCTACCTGTTTACCCACATACATACTTACATGGGTATGCAGAAACACACAGTTGCAGAGTCAGAGCCGGAAAGGGATCTACTTGTCTACTTCTGCTCGGTGATGTGGACGCCTATGATTTCAAATTTCCATCTGTCAAAGTCGAGCTTTAAGGTTTCGGGGTTTAGGAATTAGTGTGTTTTGTTTGGGAGGGGGGGGGGAGGGGGGGCGAGGGGGAGTTGGGATTTGGTTGTTTTGGGATTCAGGATTTAGGAACCGAGGTTTAGAGGTTTAGGATGCACCCTCTTTCATGCTATCCTTCAGATTTCGAGACTCCTGATTTTGAGTCAACCTGTTTGGGCCGGTAGAAGGATGCAGGGAATAAGAGTGAGATCAAGGGCTAAGTGTTTGGAGACAGGGTTTCGAGTGTGCCTCCAGACCGTATTACGTAAGGGACACTGCTCGTCTGTTTGAAATCCTCAAAGAGAATAATCGGCATATCAACAAACATCACTCCAAACGTAAGGATCCGAACACAACCAGCACCCAACTCTTCACCTGGTTCCCTGAGCAGGGAATCAACACAAGAACGTGTAACTAACCCCCTATCTCTAAGCAAGCGCCCCGCTGTCAAAATCTGGAAACCAACGGCCCCCTTCCTCAACCTAAACCGAGCAAAAAAATGTACGGGGATTAAGAAAGAACGCTATTAAACAGGGTGATTATGCGCTACACGATTTTTTTGGATCCGCATTAACCCACATCCCAATACAACGAAGTTTGATTGCAACACCTGTTTGGATTGTTGAGGCCCCTGCATTATAGAAACCTCATGCCGGAAACTTTGAAAGACTCCAAACTTTAAATTCTAGTAGGATGATTTCAGGCAAACTCCCTAATTACTGGAGATTAGAGTCTCTGGGAACCTTTGAAAGCATCCTCTAAACCCTCAACCCTAAGGCCCCTGAACTCTATATAAACCCTAAACTCTAAGGTGAAAGCCAGAAAGTTGGAATATGATTATCCTAACCCTTCTATGGTAAATTATAGGGTATCCTACCCTGAAACCATATTCCAACTTTCTGGAGTTCCCTTCAAAGGACTCGAAAAGCAAACGAGGAGGGCCTTCCGCTGGCGCGTGCGCATCACTTCAGGATCCTCATGGCCGAGGTTTCTTCGGCTTCAGGATTTGGGGGTTTCCGAAAATTAGGGGTACCTTATTTGGGGGTCCTTATAATAAGGATCCTACTATTTAGGGTAATTACTATATTAGGGTCCCCTGGATTCTACTTGGAGGGTCGGGGGACCTACTAAGTAGTTATTTTGTAGAGTTATAAGTACCATAACCCCAATTAGGATCCCTCTTAGGGTACTTATATGTCTACTTACTACCCAATAACTAAGTCCCCCGACCCTCCAAGTAAGGTTAGGGCTTACTTAGGGTGTAGGGATTGGGGTTTAAAGCTTACGGTTGAGGTCATTGGGTTAAGAGTTTAGGGCTGTTGTTTTTGTTTGTTTTTCTTTTGAGGGGGGTGGAGTTTCGGGATTATCGCTTTTAGGAGAGTTCTGCCGGCTCAGGATTTAGTGTCAATGTCGGGGCCTTCATAACTAGAGTAGGGCTACTTGTAGGCCGGACAACCTACATATTCAAGGGCACGATACCAGGAAGCCATCACAAGGAATGCTGAAGAAGCAGTGTTGCAGGGTTTCAGGCAACATCTGAACACAGATAGGCTGGGACTTTGGGCACATGCAGTCGGCTGGGCGATTGCGTGGTGCGGGACTCAGGGTCATTATGCTCAAGATCGAGGTCGCGTTCTGAAAGAACTTCTGCCACACCCATCAAAAGCAGACGCCGGCAGTAGAACATAACATCTGCAAGACGGTCCGGCTTCTTACGGTCGTCAAGAAAGAGCACAACTTTTTCATGCAATCGCAAATGCCAGTCAGTTCGATACTGGGAGTGCTGTTCCGGCAGCGTCTTAGTTCAGGGTTTCTCAGGGACCCTAAACCCTAAACCCTGAATGAAGGCAAAGGTCCACTTCAAGAGAGCAAGCCATCGAAGACTCCTCTTTCGCGAGGGCCATGGCATCCTCTCACATTCTCCAAGTCAGGGTCTAGGGGTTTTAGGGTTTAGGGTGTGGCACACTCTACGGTGCCGAATTCGCATGATGTTGTCGACGGTCAGTTCGGGGTTCCTGGGTCAGGCTGCAGCCTGAGCAAAGCAACGACTATTGTAGGGCACCAGGATGTTGCGACACACAGCTTCACGCACAATTCGCTCAACATGAAGCCAAATTCAAAGTACCTAAAACCGAAGCTCGCACCTTGGACCGTGAGAGCATATGTAGTCCTGGTTCGAATGTATGTATGTGGGTATGCATGTTGTATGTTTGTGCACGTATTAATGAGCGAGTTACTTAGCATGACATGAAACAAACAAAGCACGCCCAGCATACCCACAAGGCGTGAGATTGCTCGATGCCAAGCCTGCAGAAAATGGCCCAACGGCACGGGCCATTGAAGCGGCCACGGTTTGCCACAAAGAACGGGCTCTTCGTCCTCACTTGCAGGTAGGATATAGTGGGGTCTAGATCGGGGTAACTTGTAACAACCTTACTCTAAGGGTTCATGTACCCAAACAGTAAATACTTTGGGCCCAATGTACCCATATAAAGACTACTTTATAGGCCAATGTATGTACTATTTGGGTAGTTGTCAAAATGAAGGTCCCTTATTGGGTACCCCAAATAATAGGTGCCGTTATCATAATAGGGACCCCAAAAGGGACCATAATTTTGACAACCACCCATTTACGTACATGGACCCTTAGGGTTACTTACAGGTTCCCATGGGCCTCTCAGACTTAAGCCTCGAGGTTGTGGTTGGTGTCAAGTTGACTCGGTCATTTGGCCACATCTCACTATACTGAAATAAGAGCCCTAGCAACAATTATAATGCAGGTGTTTCTTAGGGATTATAAAAACCAAAAGTTAAAAACTATTTCTAAGTACCCCTAAGTCACTAGCTCTTCCGGAATCACAGGACTTCAAAACTTGCGTGGTATTTGGGTCAGGTTAGTGCAGTTTACGTACGGTCTAGGATTTAGTGATCATCGGAATGGTACAAGTGCTAACATGATGCACTCTGTAATGCTGCCCCGAATGGTCTTGTCCCATGTCTACTTCGGTAAGCCAAACCAAGACCAGTTTAAAAACCGCATGGAGCTGATGTCTGAAACCAGAACCTCAAAATCTTAAACCCCTAAACCCGAAACCTCAAACCGTAAAACCCTGAACCCTAAACCCCAAAACCTGAGCCCTAAACCCGAAAGCCTGAACCCGAAAGCCTCAAAATCTTAAACTGCGGACCCCTCTGATCCCCAAACCCCTATGCCACAGAAGTCCTAAAAGGCTGCCTTCGAAGCTTCAGGCAAGCGTTATTTCGGGTTTTAGGGCTTCAGCCTTCCGGGGTTTAGGGTTTAAGGGTTTAGAGCTTCAGGGTTAAGGGTTTAGGGTTCTGACCTAGGATAGACTAGGGTTTGGGGCTGCTTGACAGTCGGATCAGAACGAGGGAACCCTCAGGAATATTATTGGCAGTTTGCGGCTTCTATATGGGTGGTTGTCAAAATTGTCGTCCCTTTTGGGTCCCTGTTTGTAATGCGGCACCTATTATTTAGGGTACCCAAAAAGGGACCTTGATTTTGACAACTACCAAAAAAATCCTACAAAGCGCCCCTAGAAACCTTGTAAAGTACAAAAAGCAGTTGCAGCCCGCCTGTACGGCTTCTGCTGCCTGTCGCCAGCGAAGTCGCGGCGCGGCAGTCTTTCCTTTAAGCAACAGTTGGCTGAAGAGCTTTGGGGGTTTCGGACTCTACCCATAGGCCCCAAAGTAGTTCCTTTTGGGATTACCTAATAGGATTCTATATATGAGCCACAAAAAGGAACTACTTTAGGGCCTTAGGGTAGAGTTTAGGGCTTCTCAAAGCCCTAAATTTCCGACGGACAGACTTTGGGGCTGGAGTGAGGTTTCGGGCTTGAGTTTTAGAAGAGGCAGAGCTGATGTTGCTTGTTTCGGTGATCTTTCTTCTGTCAGCGTGAGGGTGCTGCTGCTCAATCCTCCAGCCTGACCTGTTGCCAGGTTCCTTAAGGTGTAGTTAAGATCTATGATTTCAAGACTGACCAACGTCCTGGCAAAGCCAAGTACCGAAGCATGAAAGTCGAGAAGGCCTAAACCCAAATCACACCCTCAAACCCCACAACTTGAGAACCGCATCCGTACATTTCCTACGACACCCGCAGCCAAAAAGCCACCCATCGAAATCCGATTGTCCTTCTTCCGGCGCTTCCCTGCCCAGCCGAATTGGAGAGCGGAAGAGGCCATAGTAGCGAGGACGACGGTTTGGAAGGCCTCAGAAGCAAACCCTAAGGATCCAAGTAGTCATTACGGTTGATGGTATAAGTCCTGCATTACCTTAAGGACCCTAAACGATGGGAATTATGGTATATTCCTTATTATGGGTCATGCAGGATTTCTATCATCAACTGTATTTTTGGTTTTGATACCTAAAAAGACTCACTTGGACCCTCTTGGAAAGGCATCCAAGGACTCCAGATAGGCTATTTCAAGACTCATAAGCACGACAACCCATATACTTTTCAGTCCTACCCTTGGCCTACGAAAGGGGTTTTAATGATTGCAATAGGGTTTTGGGGGCCGTTATGCTATGCCTATAATAAGGCCCCCCCTCAAAAAAACAGATGTATTGGTAATTATTCAAGCCCTTTCATTATATCCGTAAACTAGGCCATAGAGTAGCCCTTATAGACCCCTTTAAAGGAACGCGCAGCCCCTATATTACATGTCTGAAACACAAGCTTCCACGCCCTAAACCCTATACCCCCCCTACCCCCCAAAGTAGGCAACAAAAATGGCTAATAATGGCCCAACACCAATAAAATAGGCAGTTATTCTGCATACTTTCGGGGTTCAGGTAAACCCTAAACCGTATAAACCCTGAACCCCCTACTTGTCGGGTATAGGGACCATACTACCCCAAAAAGGTTAAAGGTTACCTACTCTACTACTAGCCCCTAAACCCAAAACCCTAAAGCCTAAACCCGAAACCCTGAACCCTAAACCCTAAACCCTAACCCCTAAACCCTGAACCCTAACCCTAAACCCTGAACCCTAAAGAAATCGGGTCGCCGGGAGCGAGTTATCCGGATTTTGCGGATGGCGCTGTGGGATGTACCACCTATATACGCCCCAACCCCCCACTGTAAGGGTTTAGGGTTGAGGGTTTAGGGGGTTTTAGGGTTTAGGGGTTTAGGGTTTAGTATCCTCAAGCAGACCCTAAACCCTGAAACCCTGAAACCCCTACACCTGAAACCACAAACCCCTGGACCCCTGAACCTTATTCTTCTGACACCTTCCACCTCGAACCTTGTGGGCTTGCAAGTTACTGTTATCCGTGCGATTGAGTCCTTAAATGGGAACCCGAAGAGTAAGAAGGAACCCACACCCGTCTTGCCGGGTTTAGGGCTTGGGCTTAACTTTCCGGGCTTATCAAAGGGGAAAAGGAGGGACCCTTAATGGGGACCCCTACCCTACAATGGGCTATATAATGGGTATATAATAGCTATATTAAGGGTATATACCTAGGGGTCCTTCTTAAGGGTCCCTCCTTTTCCCCTTCGAGTTTACGTGTTAGGAGCTAAAGGGCTTGGAATTGGTTCTGAGCCCTTCTAACCGGTGAATCATGCCTGCATTCACTGTTCACAAGGTTAGGGCCTAGGGGTTTTGAGGGTTTCGGGGTGTTTAGGTGTTTAGGGGTTTCGGGATGTATATAGGGTCGTTCTTTTTCCGTGAGAGTAGGTTTTGGACAGCCCAAACCCGAAACACACAAGGAACGAAGGAGTATTTTATTAATGCTGATTTTGTTAGATTTTGCGCTGTGTGTTTCGGATGCTGACCTGGTCAACGGCCTTAAACCGGAATTGGGTGGTTGTCAAAATTATGGTCCCTTTTTGCACCCTTAAAATAGTACAGCACCTAACATGTAGGGTACCCAAAAAGGGACCTTAATTTTGACAACCGTCCAACTGGACATGAGCAAGACACAACAAAATCTCACCGTGTCTACATAGCGCGGCCAAATAACCCAATCTGCAGGTATTGAGAAAATGACCTTAAGGGCCTAAGCGCCGAACAATAGTCATATACTCCCCCGACTGCTAAGCTACAAATCGACTATCACATTGGGATTGTGTGCCCCGGACATTTAAAGCCCCAACACCACTCAAGTTAAACCCCTTCAGGAGCCTTCATAGGAACTGATTCGAAAACCACGCCCCTAAACCCTAAAAACCCTGGTGGGTCCTTCAACCCTAAAACCCAAAACCCCTAAAACCCTAAACCCTTAAACCCCTACAGCCCTAAACCCCTAAAGCCCTGAACCCTAAAACCTAAACCCTTAAACCCTAAACCCCTAAAGCCCCAAACCCTGAACCCTAAAACCCCTAAAATCCCAAAAAGCCCCAAAAGGCACCAAAAAGCCACCAAAAAGCCCACAAAGGCACCAAAAAAGCCCCCAAAAGGCCCCCAAAGGCCCCAAAAGCAGCTCAAGAAGCCAAAGTCCTCGGCGTCCAGGGCAAACTCAGTCAACTCCCAGCCCAGGGTTGCCAGTGCCTCGTTGAGGGCTTGAGGTTTAGGGTTTAGGGTGTCTTGCTGCGGAGTGGCTGGTTATCCATGCTAGGATGGCGCCACCTCACACCAGGGTCTGTGAGAGCAGCATATTACGCGTCAAGCGACCTTCCTTGCATGTGTCATAGAACTCGGAGAACCGAAGTTCTCCAAAACCCGCCCGCTGTGAGGACACCACGGGCAACCACCCAAACCATCTCCTGTCAGGTTTCAGGGCTCCCGCCCTGAATGGCTCCACCCACCGTTTGACCCAGTGCGGGTGTAAAGGCTGCCGGGCATCTTCAGTGTCTGGGCACCCAGTTCTAGGAGGCCGGGTGGGAATTTAGGGGCTTTCAAGTTTTAGGCGTTAGGCCTTTGGAGCTTTAGGGTCGGGTCTTGGTGTGTTGGGGTTTCGCTATTTTGTTTTTCGAAGGGTGGCGTGTTGGTGTTTTAGGGCTTTTTGAGGGCTGCTTTTCTCACTGCGGCTACGAATGAGAAATTATTGCATTTTCGGGTTTAGATTCTAAGGTTTTCGTGTTTAGGGCTCTCGGCTCCCAGAATTCTCACATGGTCTTATTTGTTCGTTCTTTCCCGAATTGGTCGCAAACTTTACTGAACCCGAGGCCCTATACCCTAAGATCATCACAGAAATGCTCGCGACTATTTTGGAGCCCAGCACTCAGCAGAAGCTGACTTAAGGCTTAAAGCTTAAATTCTAAATAAGATCCCTCGCCTTTCGAAACCAAACCTTGAGGTACCTGTAACCCTGCTACTTACCTCGACTAATGAACCCTAAACAAACATAGCGCCCCCCCGAGAAACTTGATAGACATCCCGAGGCAGCCGCTGCTTATGATGACTACCCGTCGTGGACGTTGAAGCTTCTTCCATCCACAAAATCACTTCGGTAAACCTTAAACTCAGACCTGAAACCCCGAGCCCAGTTGTCCGTCAAAGAGCTTGCACAAGACGGCGGCGACATTCCGAACGCTCCTGGGCGTCGGCTCGGGGACTCTTGGGCTGCGCTGCGGTTCATTGTCTCATGGCTTTTCTTGAGGGGTTTTAGGGGTGCTAACCTGCTTTTATGGGAGTACCGACTTTGGGCTGCAGGGGTCAGGACTATTCAGGGTTGTGGCTTTCAGGGTTTCGGGCTTGAGGTTTTGACATCTCTGTGAGCATGTGCGTGCGTATGACGCTTGTGCAAGGATGAAGCTTGCACGTTTTGTCGATCCTTTCAAAAAAATCGGAGCCAGAACGATGTCCGAGGGCATATGGAAGAACACAAGGCACAAAGAACTCAACGAACTGTATGGAAACCCTGCACAACCCTAAATCCTAAACCCTAAACCCGAAACAACACACCGGCCTACCATGGGATGCTTTCCGAAGCAAGGCAAGAGGCGAAACCGATAACGTTCTCCAGCAATATTCGCCGCGGCGGATGATGCATCCTTGCTGGTTGAGGGTTTAGAGTTGAGGGTTTGGGGTTTATAGTCAGTTTGAAGTTAGCCAGGGAAACCCAGACCGGGTTCAGGGTGTAGGGGAGCTGTTGGAAGGGCAGGATAAGACCTCATTGAACTTAATTAGGCAAACAAACCCTAAACCCTAAACTTTAACCGTTTAAGTAGGAAAACAAATAGCTATGACAAGGCATCCCCACCACAAACCCCGGCGTCGGCCGAGAGGGTTGTACATCGCGGTTGTGCATACCAAAAAACTCATTGCAATCGACCGGCCACGAAGCCTTTCCACAAAAATCCCGAAACCCTTACAACCCCTGTGTTTGATTGATCCAGCAGTTCACATCATCAGGTCTTCGCGCTTTCAGGAGCAATAGAGCCTCTAGCAATCCCTTAATTCGACAAACATCTCCCGCGGCCACACGCCAACAAGCTGCAAGACACCAAGCTTCAGCATTTTCCTTCAATGGTTCCAGCACCCCGACCCGACGATTGCTCCTTGACCCAAGCCTTAAACCCTCAAGTCCCAAAAGGCATGCTATCACCAAGACACTCGGACTGTATATACCCTGTATACAGCCTAAAGGAAGCCTGCGAAACCCTCAAACCCCATGAAGAGCCCACAAATCCCCAAGCCCTAAAGCTTAAGGCCAAGCCCAAAAATCTCAAAGCCCAGAAAATCCTTCGAGGAACCCGGAGAGGGACCCCTAGCCTTAGCCTCTTTAAAGAACCCTAAACTACACTCTAAACCCTAAAGCCATAAACCCTCAAATCCTACACCCTAAATACACCATAAAACCATAAACCCTACACCCTAAAGACCCTCAAGCCCTACACCCTACACCCTAAACGCCCTCAAGCGCTACACCATAAAACCTTACACTCTACAGCCTAAAAACCCGCAAAGACACCATAAAACCCTAAACCATACACCCTAAAACCCTCAAAGACACCATAAAACCCTAAACCCTACAGCCTAAAACCCTCAAAGACACTAACAAATACCCAAACCCTACACCCTAAGAACCCTCAAAGTCCCTCAACAACCTGCAATCTGAAACAGTCAGGGCGTCTCTGGGAGCACGCTGACCAAGTGGAGCAGCCCCCGGGACCTTCCGATGTGCAGCTTGGTTTAGAGTTTACCTGTAGCCGAAAGACCTCCTTTTTTAAGGAAGTATATACAAAAACCATAACAAATCAGGAACCCTAAAAAGGTAGGTCTTTTCGGCTGCAGGTAGGGTTTAGGGTTTATGGTTCAGGGTTTGAGGTTTAGGGTTTAGAGATCAGGGTTTAGTGTTTATAGAGTTTAGGGGTAGGGTTTCGGTGGTGTTCACTAGCTTCTGTGAACTTGTTCACAAGCCTCACGGGTAGGAACGTAAGAGGTTGAGGCTTACGGCTGGGGCTTAGGGTGTAGGGTTAGGTTCCTGCTATTTGTCCGACCCCCTTCCAGCAGCGCACCCAAGGTCCGGAATAACCTTTTGGGTAGAGCCATAGCCCAGCAAAGTAACTCCATGCAATGTACAAACTTATCGGTTTCGGTTTAGAGTTTCCCTGATCCCTATACCCCAAACCAGAAAGTTCTGTTTTAGGGTTGCTATAAGGGTCGCTACAAGGTGCTCTCAGGGAGTCGGGGGGGGTTCAGGTCTTCAAAGGCTTAGGTTTTGGGGCTTTGAAGGCTGAGGCTTCGGGTTTAGGTTTAGGGTTTTAGGGTTTTAGGGTTTTAGGGTTTTAGGGTTTAGGGGTGTAGGGTTTTAGGGTTTTAGGGCTTTTAGGGTTTTAGGGTTTTAGGGTTTAGGGTTTAGGGTAGGGTTTTAGGGTTTTAGGGTTTTAGGGTTTTAGGGTTTAGGGGTGTAGGGGGTTTAGGGTTTTAGGGTTTTAGGGTTTTAGGGTTTTGGGGTTTTAGGGTTTTAGGGTTTTAGGGTTTTAGGGTTAGGGGTGTAGGGTTTTAGGGTTTAGGGTTTAGGGTTTTAGGGTTTTAGGGTTTTAGGGGTTAGGGTTTTAGGGTTTTAGGGTTTTAGGGTTTTGGGGTTTTAGGGTTTTAGGGTTTTAGGGTTTTAGGGTTTTAGGGTTTTAGGGTTTACGGTTCCGGGTAGCTGTCAGAGCTTACGGCAGCAGGGCTGAAGCGCCCGGGCTTTGTAGGGTTTCTAGGGCTGAATGAGGGTTTGGGGTCTTCGGACTTGGCATTTTTGGGCGTGGGATTTAGGTTTGTGTACCGTGTCTTTACTCTCCGCGGTGAGATCAGATAGCTTAGGATCCCAAAGGGTCCTGTGTATTGTTCTGGGGGATACTTCCCTATAGTCATAATAGTAATGCCTAATATGGAACCCTACATTCCACTATATCGGTACATAGGAGTCTTTGGGGACTCAGGGTTTAGTAGCTTGGGTTCTTGTACCGCTTCCAGAGTTCAGCTTTAGAGTGCGAAGCTGTATTGAATCCTACCTCAGTTTATGCCGAGTAGGCTGAGACCGAGCCGGCCTGGCCCTAACGCCTCAAGAGCTAAGCTACCTAGCAACTACTTGCAAGCTCATTTCCGAGGTCCTCCTGACGTTCATGAAGTCAGGACCTGCTCATCAGCCTTCTTGAGCAAATATGCAAGCACTCAGCTCTCGCTGCTCATGCCAATGTCGCTGTTTTGCAGCTGCCTGCCGAACGATAGTCCCAACGATTCGATTGCGGCAACCACTCACACCTCGTAGTGGGCGGTGAACGCTTGTGCGCGGCCATGGCGACGCCGACGATGCACATTGTCTGCCGAATGCTGTCAACTGCAGCCGTCCTTTAGAATTCGGCGCCAGATCATGTCACTCCAGGTATTAATTTCCACGAGTTGTTTCGGCGGGCCGGCAGGTTTTGAGGTAAAGGGTCGACAAGAATAAGGCAACCTAAGGAGCAATGTTGGTAAATGCTTTGCCTTCTGCAGTACCGGCGCACCTCCAAGCAAATTTTCACACACTACACCATCCAAACACGAAAGTCCCGACAGTCACCGAATCCGAAATCCAAAAACCCGAGAAGCCGTACTTCATGTAGGTGAATGTCAGGATCATGGTGGTTTTCGGGAGCCCTAAATAGTTCTACTCGTAATACAGCACCTTAAACCCTAAACCCCTCAACCCCAAACCCCTTATGTAAACCGGAAACCCCAAGCCCTAAATCCTAAATGCCTCAAACCCTAAACCCTCAAAGGGACTCCAGTTTTGACAAGCACCATTGGAAGACCAATATAGGGGCCTAAATTATTACCAATACTATTTTGGGGGTTCCTTGTTATACTTATAGGAAAAGCAGAATGGGCTAGACTATAATTATAATATGGAACCCTCTCAAAAAAATACTATTGGTAATTACTAGAGCCCTTAATAGAGAACCCTAGTACAGATCCCTTTAAAAGAACCCTGTAAAGGTACCCGCCCGGGCCCCCCAAAAAATAGTGTTTGGAATTATTTCGGCCCCTATCCTATACCCCCCTTCGAACCATATTGAACATCATACTCTTGATATTCTTTTGGGTTTCATACCCCTAAGCCCTAAATCCTAAACCCTAAACCCTAAGGAGACTATAGTATAGTAAGATGCCTGTCATCCTCGTGGTCTTTCCTTAGCAGCGGACTGCTAGCGGTTTGGGCTTGGGGTTTGAGAGTTTAAGGCGTTTGGGGTTCTAAGGCATAGGATTTGGGGTTTTAGGGTTTGAGGGTTTAGGCTTTGGGGTTCTAAGGCTTATAAGATTTGGGGTTTAAGGGCTTAGGGTTTGGAGGTTCTAAGGCTTAGGATTTAGGATTTGAGGGTTTGAGGGTTTAGGGTTTGGGGTTCTAAGGCCTATAAGATTTTGGGTTTGAGGGTTTAGGGTTTGGGGGTTCTCAGGCTTAGGATTTAGGGTTTGAGGGTTTGGGGTTTGACGTTCTAAGGCTTAGGATTTGGTGTTTGAGGGTTTAGGGTTTGGGGTGTTAAGGCTTAGGATTGAAGGTTTTAAGGTTTGGGGTTTGGGGGCTTAAGGTTTCGGGTATTGGTGGTGGGCTTGCGGCTTTTGGTGTTCTATTTTACGATTTGCGGTTGAAGCTTTTGCAACGGCTGGGGTGTTGATGAGGTCTGGAAGGGCTTGCCAGTTTGGGTCGAGGGCTTCGGGTCTGTCGTTGTTGAGCCCTTCTCTGCTTGACCTGGCGCTGTTAGGACAGAAACCCTGCATCCGAGGTTCCTTCACCTCCCAGCTACCCATGAAAGCTAAGAGAGGCGTCGTTTTTGGTGCAGTCGAAGCATGTGTTGAGGCGACGTATGAAACTCCCAAACTCTTGAAACCTGAACCCCAAATTTCGCCTCCACGCCAAGCTCCTAAGCTTAAGCCCGAGAAAGGGCTCGTGTGGTCGGGTGCTGGGCGGTTTGAAATTGATAACCTTCTCGAATCTACGGCGCTTACAGTGTTCGTTCCGGCACCCCACACCAGAATGTGTCTAGGGCTGACTCTGTTGCGATCAGGATTGGTATCTGAATCCCGAATCCCAAACGCCGAACCCTTCACAGGTAATAGAAGCCGGAATAATTACCAATGTTGTTCCTCACGGATCAATATTATATGGTTGCAGTATTATATAGCCCAAAACCCTATCCCGGTCATCAAGGCCTTAATGTTCAAAGGTCAATAAGCTGCTTTATCGTCACCCAGCTGCCGCTTCCCCGAGCGAGTGAAAGGCTGGCAGGGTGGGCCTGAAGATGTTGGTGCGCGGGTTTTAATGGCGTCCTCTTGGAGTTTAGCATTTAGGGTTTAGGGTGGGTCTTGAAGGAGTTCACCGTGTCTCATGCCGGTTTTGTAGAGATGGGTTTTGCGTCTTGGAAGGGCCGGGCGTTCAGGGCTCTGGGTCTTAACAAAAACGGACACACACAATACAAACAATCCTAGTGTGTCCTATGCTAATGCGACAACTGAATAGTTACTGCGATGGCGAAGAAAGTAACAGGAACGAAATTAGTAGTGGCACTCGTAGCAGTAGGGGAGGGGTCAATTAGTCAGCAGTCCCCGGAGTGGTGGTCGCGCACGTAGCAGAATTTGTAGAGTCAGCAGGAACTGACGATCCAGCCACGACCCGGGCATTCCGAGTCTAGACACGCACGCTGAAGCAGAAGCATAGTACTAGTTGGTTTTGCCGCAGGGTGCTTGTCGGACAAAGATTTTCCGTAAAGGTGTGTGGGAGAAGAGTTGAACTCACGATGGCCCGGGATGTTGCTTGCCACACAGGGGCTTCTAAGACCGACGCCCTCCATGCTAAATTTTCAATCGCTGAACTATAAACTGCCGTTCAGGCACTATGACTGTGAGATTCGGACTCCAGTTTGGTTTCACACAGACGTCAAGCCCTCAACCGTAAACTGCAGGTTTCAAACAGGCGCAAGCGCGATAGACCCCAGAACCGCTGAGCAGGCATGAGACTCATCAGCCAGACGTCAGCGGCCAATGCCTTGCTTGCGTGCTTGCTGCTTCCCAGGTCTTCCAATACCCATTAAATTAATTCAGGAGACATCTTAAGTCATATTCGGGATTCCATAATATTTTTTGGTGCATATTCCTTAATTCGGGGGTTTCTGGAAGAGCTGCTTGGAAAGACACCATTTTCACCTTGCCCAGGATGCAACCAATTGGGTTTCATGTTTTAAAGTTTACAGTGAAATGTTTTGAGAAGGAGAGAAATCCTTCAAACCCAGGCATGCTACTTGACTGCTCTGTTTTTGGTTTAACGTTTTGAAGCATTGACCGCCATACTGCTGCTACTTCTGCCATTCGCAAGTGGGCTAGCAACACCCCGAAACCCTGAAACGTGGACTCACAGCCACAAGCCCTAAACCCCACACCGACGACCCAGGCCGCACCCTAATCCCTGCACCCTAAAATCGGAAACCGATGTGCTAAACCCCGAGCACCCTGTGCCCTGAGCTGCACCCAAGCCCCAAACCCAAACCCCTAAACTTTGCCAGATTGCATCGAGATCCTGGTGACGGAGGCACTCCTTGGCACTGGCACAGCTTGGGCGTTTTTTGGGTTGTAGCTTTTGGGGTTCAGCAGTTTCGTCTTCAAGGGTTCAAGGTTCAGCGTTGTGGGGCTCAGGGCCTAAACTTTCGAGGGTTTTGGGCTATTTGGGGTTCTTGGGTCTTGGGTTGAATGTGGGGGCAACGGGCGTCGCGGCTGTAGGACCTGTTAAATGTTCAGGGCATGCAATGCACTCTTGGGTTTGCAGGTTAAAAACCTACGATTATGGTTCGAGCTCAGGAGGGCTTATGCTGTGCTAGCTTGACCGGGTCTGTGAAAGGAACACTTTGCAAAAAAACAGAAACAGCACGACGTTCTTATGCTGCAAATCCTGCAAACCCTGCGGGGGAGATGTGCCAGTGACCTGGGCCTCGTCTGACAGGCGTGCACAGTTCGGGGCCGTTGCGGCCCAAGCAGCTTCGTGTTTTTGTTTTTGTGCAGATCCCCATGCTACTGGTGAATGTGCTCCGACTGAAGGACGTCGCCAAGACTGCGTGCGACGGCTGTCTGGGCAAGCGTCAGGCATCGGCATTCTCAGTGTGCGCGATGGCAAAGCTCAGTGGCACAAAAAAGAGGAACGCCCAAGCCGGCATATCGCGTCTCTGATCGCTTTTCACGCTGATGCCAAGTGCGAGCAAGAAGCATAGCTATCAGGCAAGAGCCAGTATGTGCCATCAGTTGACACCGAATGAGCGCTGCGACCGTAAATCCCGACCCTAGCGTCGTCAAGCCCCCTGTGCGCACTCTCAAGCCTCAGGCCTTGAGAAAAATTCCACCGTGACGGCCCTAAACCCCAACTTTGTTAGGGGCTTTGGGTTTAGAATTTACCCTGCGCTAGAATGGGGCCTTAGCCTAAATCCCAAACCCAAGAACCCACAGGCATCGTTCGCTTTCAAGCTACGTCATCTCCCCGGCTTCAGGTGGTTCTGGCACATTTAGGTCCAGGTTTAGGGTTTAGGGTTATGTAGACCTGCTTGTCGGGTATCGTGGGGAACTAAAGGTTAACCTTTTTCGGGTATGTAGGGACTATATAGGGACTTCACTGCCCGAAAAAGGTTAAAGGTTACCTACTCTACTACTAGGTAGAGCTGCTGATGCATCAAAGATCGTGTCAAAAGAAGGGGAACATTCGAAGTCAAAAAGGCAAAGTTTCTCACAAACTGATGGGAGGCCAAAAAGGGGGTTTAAGATTCTTGGGATAGGGATTCCTTAGTATGAACCCTATCATGGGAACCCTACTCCCTACTAGAACCCCTTTGGCCTCCCATGACAAACATCCTTTCGTCGTGGATCCTCTACTTCTACAGCCATGTCTCGATCGTCTTCTTCCGCCAGTCTTTGCTCCCGAAGTTGTGACAGTACGCCTGTCGGAGTGCCGCGATGTAGACGAGACCGGACCCCAAGGGTCCAAAGGACCCAATAATCAGGTACTCGGTTTTAGGATAGTAAGTCGTTATGTAGGTTAGGATTTTGGAGAGTATATTGATTATTGGGTAGTTGGACCCTTGGGGCTATATACAGATACATGCTTACTCACCCCCCCAAGCCCTGAAAGCCGTGCCTTTTCGCAAAGTTCCGACACATCGAAAGCTGCGACGATGGCAACCTCGCGCGGGGGAAACTGCCTGCCCTCACCATCGATACTTCTGTTCTTCTGAACGTGGCTTTGCGAAACCTTTGTTACAATCCCAGTCGTCTTCATCGCTGTCGTTCAAACCGCAATCCTCGGTGTAGCAATCCTCCCACTGGCCTACTTCAAACTTACAAACCAAGCCCCAAAACCCTATTCTCCAAACCCAAACCCCGAAAGCCTAATCTCCAAATCCAAACCCCCAGACCCTAATCTCCAAACCCTAACCCCGAAACCAGAAACGCTAAAACCAGAAACCCCAAACCCCGAGCTTTGTTGTCAACACCTCTTCCTCTGAGTCTGACCCTGTTTAGGAAGGAGCGGATCCCAGTCCACCATCTTCGAGCTTTCACTTGCAGGTTCCTTCACTTTTAGTGTTTATTCTTGTTTTTTTTTGGGGGGGGGAGGGGGGGCGGGGGGTTCCTAAACTTACATTAAGCGAACGATGAAGTCAGCGTCTATATGTTGATAAAGCTGATAAAGGCCTCCTTCTTTCTGAAACCCATGGTTCCACACCCATGCAAGCGCTGCGCCCTGGGAGCGAACAGAGGAAGTACCGGTGACCTGAAGGATCGGTGTGTCAATTGTCATCGCGAACTACATACTACACTAGAAAGGGCGGTCATCGAACCGTGAGGCTGTCGTGACTATCTTAGGCTGGAGTCACGAACGGGCAGGATGGGTGCTGGAATCGGATGGTGGCACTGATGTTTCCTTCATGCAGTATCTCCAAATCGAACACCAGAGCTCTTAGCTGTGGACCTCATGGCAAGAGCATTCGTAGGCTCGAAGTAGAGTACCCACTGTATTGACTGTATTGACCACAGCGATGACGATGACGATGGCAGCTTGCCACCGAAGCACTGCTAAGATATTGCCGGCGTGCCCCACACTGCGTCCTGCGGCCTCGCGGGGAAGCGCGAGCTTCACAGGATGCTAAAGCGCCGCTTGCCATGGCACCAATTGCGGCATTGAAGCTGATCTCGTTTGGCTCAATCTTCATTTGCGGCATGACGGTCAGGAGCTCGACTGCATGCTGCCATTGCGAGCCTTGACCACAAGCACTGATCACAGCACTGAAGCTGATAACGTCAGGTGAGAGATCTGTTGCGGACATCTTAGCGAGTAAGACCAGTGCCATCTGCCACTTGCCGCTGTTTTCACAGGCGCTGATCAAGGCATTGAAGCTGATAATGTCAGGAACACAGTGAAGTTCAGGCATTGCAGAGAGCAGCTGAAGGGCTCTTTCCCATTCCAAGCTCTTCGCACAAGCACTGATCACAGCGCTGAAGCTGACTTCATTCGGGGCTAACTTGAATCTGGGTATCTGCCAAAACAGTTCCAAAGCGAACTGCCACTCGGAGCTCTTCTCGCAGGCACTGATGGCAGCACAGAAACAAAACAAGCTTGGAGCCACCTGGGAGCTTCCGAAAATAGGGGTACCTGGGGTCCTTCGAAAAAGGATCCTACCATTTCGGGTACTATATAAGGGTCACCTATTTTCGGAAACTCCCACCTGCTGCGCGAGCATGAGAACAAGCAGACTGAGTCCCGCCTGCCACTGTGCATCCTTGGCACAAGCGCTGATAGCTGCGCTGTAGCTGTAAGCATTCGGGAGGCTTCGGGCCAGTTGCATCTCCCGCAAGAAGCCGAGACCTGCTTGCCATTGACTACCTTCCTCACCTGGGTTCTTGTTACGGGATTTAGTTTAAGGTACCATAACAGGGTTCTATGGTAAATAATGAGGTTTTATTATTAGAGTAACTTAAAGCCAAATCCCTTAACAAGAGCCCAGTCACATGCACTTATGGCTGCAGTGTAGCTAATTACGTTGGGTTCAAGCTTGCTCGCCGTAATCTCGGGGAGCAGGAGCAGGGCCATCTGCCATTGTGAGCCCTTCTGCAAGGTGGTGATCGCTGCTCCAAAGCTGACGATGGTAGGCAAAACCTGGGATCTGTTTGGTTTAGGGTTTAAGGTTTAGGGTTTTTAACCCTGAGGGTCCAAAGCACCCAATAATTAGGTACTCGGTTTTAGGATAGTAGTTGTGTAGGTTCGGATTGTATATGATTACTAGGTATTCGGACCCTTGGGGCAAGGGATTTGATTTCAGTTACCATAAGGAGGAAACCATTTTATTTACTTTAGATCCCTGTTATGGTAACTTAATAAAACTCCTTAACAAGAACCCAGAAACAGAGTGGACATGCATCTTCGCAAGGAGTAGAGCTGCCATTTGCCATCGCATCGCATTCCCACAGGCGGTGATCAGAGAGTTAAAGCCTGGGTTTTCATGAGTAGGTACAATACCTCTATAGGAACCATGAAGGGACATTAAAAGGTTTTCCAAACTGCCACCTAGAAGCTGATGCTGCTCGGTGAAAGGCTTGCTGCCGATATCCTTGTAAAGAGGCACAGCGCCGTTTGCCACTGGGAGGCTTCTTGACAAGCGCTGATACCCACATTCAGCACCGTCTCGTTAGCTTCAACTTTGGCACCTGGCATGAGTGAGAATATGTGGAAAGCGACCTGCCACTTCCCACACTTCTCACATGCACTTATAGCTGCGCTGAAGCTGTATTCATTTGGGAGGACATGCACTGCTGGCATCTTGGCAAGCAGTTCTATCGCCAGCTGCCATTGGGCTCCTCTCTCGCATGCACTTATCGCGGCACTGAAGGTGAACACAGTAGGTGACACGCTGGCCGACGGCATCTTTTCCAAGAGTTGCAGTGCCACGAGCCATTGCTGCGCTTTGCCGCAGGCATTTATTGCGCTGCACCAGCCACGCTCATTCTGCCCGCGTGGTCCGCACAAGACCTGCAACGCAGTCTGCCACATGGCTGCCGCGATGCCTGGAAGCCCTGGATTTTGAGCCTAGCTTCCCGAAACTACCTTGGGCCCTTGACCCTTCAGATACGCATCTGTAGTTGCAGGGACAGGCGATCAATGTCTCGAAGCCTGCCGAAAACTTAGAGAGAGATGGCAAACTTAATGCCCCTAAACCCTACAGCCTAAACTGCGATGCACATTACTCTAAACGCCGAAATAATTCCCACCCGGACATAAGCCTTCCTAGATGCCCAACTACCCTTTGTTGTAGCTCCGAATTACCTTTTTATGAATATAAATATACTTGTTTGTATATATATATATATATATGTATGTATATATGTATATAACTATCTTCATACACTCATACCAGAGCCCGATAAAGGCTACTTGGGGGCTCCTGGTAAGCCTAGTAGCAAAGCACGACAGCCCTCTAACATGACGAGTCTCCGACAATTTCCCCAGCTCCCTTTATATGAGCCATTCAGGACTCGTAAACGAGCCCTGGTAGAACCCTTAAGGGAACCCATAAAGGAATCTTCATGTTAAGGCTCTTGATTTCTTTTCATTTTCGGAACACAAATCCGGGTGGATGCCTAGCGTGACTCTGCCTTCAATCAACCTTCCAGCAACATTTCAACTATGATCGCAGTGTTTAGGCCCTGTTTAGTAATTAGGGGATTCATGAGCTTCTAAAACTCCGAATTCAGCTCCTTCCGCCCCTAAGCCCTAAACCCTAAACATCAGGACGGCCTCCAAACCACTCAGCGCGCACGCCGCGCGCATCCCCCCGATTCCCGCAAAGAACTCCACCACCCGGATGGGCCTCGGTCTTTCACCTCCGACATCGGGAGCACAAGGGGGCTACTACTACGTACTACTACTACTACTACTACTACTACTACTACTACTACTGCTACTACTACTGCTGCTGCTACTACTACTACTACTACTACGACTACTCCTGCTGCTACTGCTACTACTACTACTACTACTACTACTACTACCACTACCACAAGGGCCACCACTACAAGTAGAGGCAGTTGCGGCAGCAGGACCAAGAGTAGCGATAACAAGGAATGCCAGCCTCGACAAGAATACGGAAATACACGTGAAAGTAATGTAGTTTTATGTCATTCCTAAACCCTAGACCTCCCTTTTGCGGTCGGTGCTTGTTCGGGATACTTGAAGCTTTGAGCTCAGGGTTCGGAGCTCAGTGGGCTCAAGGTTGAAAGGCTGGGTTTCGGGTCAGGTTTTGGGCTTGGGTCGTGAACCCTACCAAGAACCCACCACCCCAACCCTCATACCTTAAGCGTAGCAACACCCGTAGGAAAGGCAGAGCTGCAGCTTATGATCAGGACATGTCTGAGAACTTGGATGTACGGTTCAAGTTTCACATTCTGAAATCTGCACTAAGCCATATATAATTTAATCTAATTAAACGACATGCATTCTAGGGTCTCTTAATATACACTTCTGGAGTTTAGGCAGGGCTGAAAGCCGTAAATCCTTCTGCCGAAGACCCATCGAATGGGAAAGTACCTGCAATCATCTGGTCCCGATAGACGGATTGGAAGACGATGTGGCAGAGAACAGCGGTAGGAGCAAAGAAAAGGATTTGAGAAATGGATGAAAAGATCAGGACCATCGTGAGATGGATCCAGGTGCCGCCGGGCACAAGTCTTCGGGGCTGAACTACCACATGCACACAATCTTAAACGCCCTTGCGAAACCTGACCCGAAATCGAAACCATTCTGTACATCTGTTTCTGGGCCAGACAAACCGCCCTCTCAGGAGGTCAAGAGGTTTAGGATTTCGGCAAAGATCTACAGGGCAGAAGCTTAGCAGGAGCACCTGGGCTAAAAGAAAAGAAACCCCACACAGCCACGCCACCCTCAACCCTGAACTGGACCCTAAACTCTAAACGGCGACCCTATCTGTTCCCGAAAACCCAAATCACAAAAGCGCAGGTGGACCTGCATCGGCAGCTGGTTCTATTGGCTCCATGGTGGATCCAAGAGCTGCGCAACCCGCTGCAGATCAAGGGATGTACTTAGGGTTCTGAGAGGGTGAGGGTGCTATGAGTGTTCTACAAGGGCTCTTACCAGGGCTTCTGTACGGCTCCACTGAGCTTTTATGAGGGTTCTACAAGGCGGCTCAACATCTAAGGAGTAGGATTCAGCAAAAGTGCTGAGGCTTAAAGGGGTAGGACTGGCCAAGGTTTATAGATCAACGAGCTTCTTATTGATTATAAGCGTCCTGCAGGACGTATAGCTACTGGAAGGAGCTCATGCGGCGTCTGGAGCCATGCCAGCTACACTTCACTTCTCAAAGACAGAAGCAATCACGCAGTGGCAGGTGGACAATACGAACCACGAAAAACAAGCCCTGAACCCTAAACCGCTAAACCTAAGCCCTGTAAACCCTACGATAGACCGACAAGCGTGGTGAGCAAGCAGGCTTTGTTGTCACTGGAGCTTCGAAGTTCAGGATGATATAGGCACCGGAATCATTGGAATAGGGTTCCTTTAGGGGTGCCAAAAAAGGGTACTTGTGCGGGGTACTGGAGTTTTACACTTGAGTAGTTGGGCCAACTTTCAAATTCAAGTTCCTTCCATTCCGCTAGCAGCCGCTAGTGGTCTGAACTCCCATGCAAGGTCCCAGCAACGAAGAAGTGCGGTGCAGCTTGCATGCAACTCCGTTGAGTGATGAGTGCGAGTCCGCCCACGGTCTGAAAAATCAAACCGTAACTTACTCAGTCCCCTAGTCCTCCAAGTACGCTAAACCCTAAACCCTTATAGTACCCCTCTAGATCCACAAAAGGGACCCACAAGCCCCTTAGTTACTTACTAAGTCCACTGATCCTCGCGTCTCGGCAAGTTTCTCCTCCGCTGTCCCGTAGCCCGCTGTACATGTGCCAGGCTCGTCGGAAGGACCGCTCCCGCAAACATTGGGGGGATGTTTCAAGGTTCAGAATTAGGATGAATGAGGATTGGATTTTTCTGGTCTTACATCAAGACTAAGAAGCTGAAAAGTTGGGGTCTCTTTGGTGGCCCTCATGTTTTGACACTCCTAACAAGCATCACGCTTGGCTTCTCTTTGGCGCAGCTTCCGGTCCTGGCACGTTTGCTGCGGGGTGCAATTGGTTAGAGCTGGCCGATTGCGGCATGTTCTTCGGAAACTCTAAACCCTATACCCTAAATTGCGGTATGGGGGGACAGTGGTGACGACAAGAGTGATATCGACTTTGTCGACGGATTGGTTTGTCATAAACCGCGGGACCATAGCTGCGACTTTCCAAAACGTGGGTGGCCGGCGGCGGGGGTTGCAGGGGCTTGTGCAATCGACAATGCTACAACCCTGCTTTAGCCCGAGGCCCTCTTCTACTCAAAGCCTGAGCCCAAACCCGATGGCGCAAAAGGCTACATCCTTTTGAGATAGGGATAAGGCTTGATCCAAAAGTTCTTAGACCCTAAGGGTTCAAGTAAATAATTATCATATGCTCTCCCAAATGGTAACCTACATTATCCTAAACCCAAGTATATACCTAATTCTTGGGTCCATTGGAATCTTAGGGTTAGCCCCTACTATAGTCTCTGAACCCCGAGGAAGTCCTTGAACCGCAGCTGCCTTACTCGCTTTCATGTCAACCTTCTCGACAGTCACCTGCCGAGGAAAGTTCAGGGTTAAGGTTTACCTTAACCTGCCAGAATCTACTTCTTTTTAAGGAACCTGTGGTTTCCACGTAAAGGGGAATCGGAAGAAGAACATGCAAGAAACAATAGTAGCTAGGTTATGTGTGTTGTGTCATTTTTGCGGCTCGATGGGCTTATGACTTACAGCGGTTCGTAGTTAGACTTTTTTGGGGAGGCAGGACTTCGCATCTCAAGAGTTGCGTTGCTTTGTTGCTTTTGTGTTATTGTGGTTTGGTAGGACATAGGGCTTTTTAAGTTGGGTGACCCAGCCGAAATCCAACTCCAACCTCAACCAGCCGAGAGCTCTGCACTAGATTGCTGTGCCACAACACCTGCAATCTCTGCTCATGCTGACTAAGAAGACAGGAATCACGATCCGAAATACCTTTGGTGCTAATTGCCGTTTCCGGAACTCACGCCGAAGCTGTGATAAAGAGTTGGTGTAGAAACTCTAATTCACAAGAACGCGATAGTCACAGAGTGCCCAAAAAACTAGCGGTAGTTACTGGCCTGTATTTTTGGGAGTAGGGGAAGACCCACCGTTCAGTGATTAAGCACCCTGAACGCCCTAAAGCCCATCAAACTATACTGAACTTAGAACCCTAGCAAAAATCATAATTTTAGCTGTTTCTTAGGGGTTATAAAACCCAAAAATTAAAAAATATTTCTAAGTACCCCTAAGTGAGAGCCCTAGCCCCTAGGCCCCAACCCCTCTTGCCGTCCTGACGATCTTGCACGTGCCAGGTCTCGGTACAAACGCTGGACAGGAACTCCTTGAAGAAAAGGAGAACCTTACACCGTTCATCCCTGACCCTTATTTCTGGCCCCACAAATAAATGCGAAACCCTGAATTCTAGACCTTAAACAAATTCGTAACAGATATTTGCAAGGAGTGGATGGCCAGGGGCCGGGAAACCGTGGAAGCCAGCATGATTAGGCTGATTAGGCTCGCTTCTGAAAGTGTTTGTGTGTTTCTGTTTGCCAGCTGCAAATCTAATGGCCCAACGGCTTAGCATGCTTTTCTAGCTCATAGGTCGTATAAGACAGTCGGAATTCCGAAGGCCTTTTGAACTCTGCCGTGCATCTTGGTCATCATGCTCAGGCTGCCCGCGTAAAACCAATATGAGAAACTCTGACAAAGAATAGGGTCCATCCCAAAACGCAAGGAGTGGTTCCCCAAACACTGTAGGCTCTATATAAGCACACCCTGAACCCAATACACTGAACACGAACACAGGGGCCTCAACTGCTTTTGGGTGGAGAAGGGTGCATTACACTATACTTGCTTTCGCGAGCACATGGGGCTACAGGGGTACCATGGCAAATCGGTAGCTCTCTAAAATTAGGTTCCCCCTTCACGTCCCCCAAGCAAGTAGTACGGCACCCTTTGAAGAGAAGCCCTAGAAGGGACCCTAGTCCAAAGAACTACCCAAATGCTTCCGACCCGGGAAAAAGCCTTCAGCGCTTTAGGCCGCTGGGCTGAATATAATTTGGAACCCTGTACCTGACGGCTTAGGGTTCAATATATGGTAGTTTCCGAAAACAGGGCACCCTTAAAAGGTACCCTAAACAGTGGGATCATTCTTACATGGACCCCCAAAATGAGGTACCCCCAATTTTCGGAAACTCCCATATGGGACCATCGGTGATAGGGTTTCAGAGGTAGTGTTTACTATAAGTTTGTACAGCGATTACAGAAGAAGATTCTTCATGGTCCATGATGTACCCACATAGTGCACACTTTGGGCCTAAAAGTCCCTACGAAGGAATTTCAAGGCCAAAGTGTACATTTAGGGTTCTGGGTTCTGGGTTTAGGGTTTAGGGTTTAGGGATTTTATGAACACATGGCCCCTTTAGGGATTCCCACCAACCCACCCCCTTCCCCGGCATCTCCTCGTTATGGCTCACCACCACAACGCCGCCCCGGAAATTGCGAAGTGCGCGGGCCAGGGCTTCAACCTTGGGCCCCGGGTTCGCAGGTCTAGGTTTCGGATTTAGGGTTTAGGAATGATAGGGTCTAGGTTTCGGATTTAGGGTTTAGGATTTATAGGGTTATAAGGTTTAGAGCTTCGGTTTCAAGGTTTAGGAATTGGGGCTTAGGGGCAAGGGTTCGGTTTGGGGTTTAAAGATCCGGCTAAATACTTATCACCCTACATGATAGTAGAAGCACCTAACTTTTTGTCGGTAAGTCGAACCTGATGATTTTGGAAACTAGTGATTAAGGTTTATAGGGGTTCATGGTTGGGTTGACGGTTAACTTAAGGATACCCTATTGGCAATGTGTGTTCAGCTTCAAGGTTTTACGGCCTGTCGGACTTCACGTTTGGTTTTGTGTTTGAAGGTCTTTATTGTTTTCAGGCGCTTGTTTTGTAGCGCTTTTGTCCGCTTAGGTTTAGGGGGTAGGGTTTTGTCTAGGACGGGTCGGGTCATGCTCACACTCTCAGACCATCGGTGCAGGGGGGGGGGTCGAACCTGAATATCGCTGGAATCTCCGCGGCCCTTTCTGACGTTTTCGGGTTTAGGGTTTCGGGTTTTAGGGTATCCGTTACCTTCATAGCCCCGAGCCCTCAAGCGCCGAAACTGTGAAGGACATAGGGACATGACAAAGAACCTTGGACAGCCAAGACCAGACTAACACCTAGGTAGAACCCATAGAGTAGCCCGTGTAACATACCCTGCAAATTTCTAGGTCTTGCGTTTAGGGTGAAGGGCTCAGGTATACAGCCGCCTTAAACCCACTGAAGAACGCTACTTGCAACGTCCAACAAGCCTCCCAGCACGAGAGAGGGCTTAATGTAGGGGCCTTAATAATGAGAATAGGGTTTTGGGGTCCGCTATACTATAAAAATAACAAGGAACCCCCCCCAAAATAGTATAGGTAATTATTGAGGCCCCTATATTAGGCTCTGGCAGTCTCCATGTCCAAGAAGTTCGTAGGTTCGTCCAGGCACAGCACCTGTGGGAATGTAGAGCGCAAAAAGTGTAGCGTTCCAGGTTGAGGGTTCAGGTTTAGGGTTTAGGGTTTAGGGTTGAGGGTTCAGGGCTTAGAGGCTTTGTAGCCCTAAGGGTCCAAGTGCCCAAATACTTGGGTTTCAAGGTCCAAAAACCATTCAGAGTATGGATTCTGGGACCTAAAACCATACTACTTGGGTACTTGGGCTTTCTGGGTAGTGTTTGGGTCCAAAGGCCCCAAAGTAGTTCCTTTCTGGGATTACCTTATAGGGTTCTATGTATGATGAACCCAAAACGAAACTACTATGGGGCCTCTGGGTAGAGGCTTTGTAGTGTTTGGGTGTTAAGTTGTACGGATCTCTGGACCCGATCAGAACTGTCGGGGCCAGAGCAGTGAAAGAACCCAGAAACCGCAAAAAGTTGTCGTAAACTGTAATAACATAAGTATACCTAAAGATACTCTTTCAACTCAAATACATATGTAGATGAATAAACGCACATCTGTGTGAATATATATATATATATATACTACGGTAGGACGAAAGTTTGACCTATTCCTTGTTTCGTCCAAGACAGGCCCCCATTCCCCTGTAGACTCCTAGCGCACAGGACCCACCGGCTACTCCTCCGGAACATTAAAGTAGTATAATTTTAAAACGGGGTAGAAAATACTCCGCTGGCCAGGCCACGTAAATCGCACTTGTCGCTACTCCTCTACTCCGCAAGATGCTTTAAGACAAGAAAGGCCCAGTAGGTCAAAACTTTCGTCCTCCCGATGTATATACACATATATATATATATATATATGTGTGTGTGTGTGTGCACGGACGCCACACAAGTTACCTCGATAGGAAGCGCCGTAAAACAACGTGCCTTGCAGGGTAACTACGCTTTCCACATTGTTCTTCTATGGCGGTCCAACATGCAGAGTATTTATATATGTACATGTACATATACACATACACATGCTGCTTGATTGAATGATCGATTGATTGGTTGATTGGTTGGTTGAGTGAGTAAGTGAGTTAGTTCTTCGCTGGTTGCCTGGTTATTTGATTGGTTGGTTGGTTGATTGGGTGATTGGTGAGTTGATTGTCTGACTGACTGACTGATTTGTTGAGTTGTTGATTCGCTGATTGGTTGACCACTCGTTTATACACATGTGCACATATCGAACCTTTGCCCCCAGAACCTTCAGCCAAACAGAAGCCTTGAATCTTGTAATCCTAATCAATCAACCCTAAAGCCTGAACCCTAGACTCGATTCGTTATTCAACAAGCCCCAGACCCTCAGCAACACTCAACCAATACAAAATGCCATTAATTCGTTGTATCCCCACATCCCAATGCTCTGCTGAGCTCCCTGCGTGTGGCTTCGTCCAGCAGGCGGCACCGAGCAGCAGCTTTGACCGCTGGCCTCCTGAAAGGTTGCCTGAGCGGTATGGGAGTTTCCGAAAATTAGGGGTACCTTATTTTGGGGTCCATAATAAGCATCCTACTATTTAGGGTACTATATCAGGGTCCCCTATTTCGGAAACTCCCGTATAGGGCCTATAGTTTATAGGGTTTAGTAGGGCTTTAGGACTTTGGCGCTTGCAGGGGGGTGCTGCATTGGGTTAGTCTAGGTCTTCTCTTCGGAGCTGACGTAAGGGGCTACTATCAAGGTTTCTATCAGTATCCTGTTGAAAGTCCGAAGACTTATGATGAGGATTCTAATTTTTCTATGAAGGGTCTCGGGCCTTCGTTTAGAGGCTGAGGCTGTAAAGTTGAACACAAACCTAAGCCCTAAACACTTAAAACATTCTTCCCCAAAGCCAGAACCCTGGAGAATCTTCGGGAACCTGCTTCAGGATTGCAGGCTCCGTTTCTCTGGGTCATACTCGTGCTTGCTCAGTATCCTTGGGATTTAAGGGTTAATGGCTTACCCTAAAAAGGTTAAAGGTTACCTACCCTACTGCTACGGCTATAAGCCAGGTAAACCCCGTAACACTAGCAGGGCTCAAGCTTTGGAGTTTAGAACTTTGGGCGCAGGGTTGAAGGTTTGCCGAGTTGAAGCGTTGGGGTCTAGCCCTTTCAGTGAGGGGTTTCCCACCATTGAAAGGGCTCGGTGTTTGGATTACCTGATTACCTAAATGTGCCACCATTGTCTAAACCCTAAGCGTCACCTACATCCTTCTACGATAATTACCCAAACTACTCCAGATGAGCTGTGGTTTGACACTGTCGGTACCGCAACCTGTAAGCGTTCGTATTCGTAGGTTTGGGTTTACGGTTGCAGGCTTGGTTTAAGGCTCGGAGTGTGGGGCTTATAACTGCTGCAGGCTAACAGAGCATTCAAGGACTGAGAGCTTCAGGATATATGTGCCGGTGCTCTATATGGCTTTTTTTGCGTGCGGGTAAGCCAACCGATCGCAGCATCGAAGGAAGCTGCCGCTAGATCGCCGGTGGCGATCTCGAAAGAATGCCGAGACAGAGGGACAGCGAACAGCTGATCCTGACTGCGCCACTCCTGTCCTCCCTGCTTTCTAGCACCGGCCCTGACTGCTAGCTGTGTCAAGAAGTGGCGGCTGTGCTCCACCGGGACTATACCATCTAACTCGCCGTGGATGATCAAAGTGGGTGGCCAGGCCTCTGCAAGCCTGACTTGTCCAGTATCCTATGCGAAGTACTGCATCACACTCCTAGAGGCTCCATATAATTATACTACCATTAATTAGGTCCCAGAAAACCATCCTTATTATGGCTTTGGGGGACTAATTCCATAATAGTAGTATACATGGAGCCTCTGGGACAGGGAGTATAGTACCCACAAAAAAGTCAAAGCTCACCGACTCTACGACTGAATTACTACCAAACCACAAACCCAAAGGCCCTAAACCCCAAACCCTAATGCTAACGGTTACCTTGAGATCCCAATACCCCTTAATTAAGGAATCTACCTTAGACCAAAATGCTAAGCCCCCTATAACGTTTAAGGTATATTCCTTGATTAAGGGGTATTGGGAATTCTGGGTACCTATAGTCTCCATTGCAGTTCCTTTGTCGGTTTAACCAATGACATATCAAGGATCCTATAAGGTAACCCCAAAAACGAACTACAATGGAGACTATAGCTACTGCTACAGGTTCCCCTCTCCGCTAGCGAGAGGAGCATTGAGGAGTTTATCATCATGGTTTCGAAAACCCTAAACCCAGAAGCTACCCAGCTCTAAACCCTAAACCCAAAAGTTACCCGCTCTAAACCCAAAACCCTAAGCCCAAAACCCTAAACCCAAGAGTTACTCTAAACTCTAAACCCCTAAACCCTAAACCCTAAGCCCAAAACCCTAAACCCGAGAGTTACTCTAAACTCTAAGCCCCTAAACCCTAGATCTTCAGCCCAAAAGTTGCCCACTCTACCACGAAGCTCCCGACTGGCGGACTTCAGCGCTTCCAAAGGTTCAGCGGAAGGCCAGAGTTGACGATCGCCGCCGAGGACGAAGACCTCGAAGAACCAGGCCATGAAGCTCCTTAAAAGGGGGGTCTGGGGTTTAGGAGTTTAGGAGGGTTTAGGGGTTTAAGGGTTCAGGGGTTTAGGGGTTTAGGGGTTTCAGGGTTTAGGAGTCTAGGGGTTTGAGGGCCATGAAACTCCTACAAGGAGTTTGGGGTTTAGGATGTAGGAGTTTAGGAGTTTAGGCATTATAGGGTTTGAGGGGCGTGGAACTCCTTACAAGAGTTTGGGGTTTAGGGTTTAGGAGTTTAGGGTACCTGTGCAGTATCCTAAAGGAACTACAGGTTAACCTTCAGGGTTGGACAGGGATTCTATTGCTCCTGCTTGTCCAACATTCTATTGGGGTTTAGTGCTTTAGGTGTTTAGGGTTTAGGGGCACTGAAACTCCCTACCACCATTCTTCTTGTCATTGCTGCTATTACTGTAATAAGACTGCTATAGTCACCATTGTTGCTTCTAAAGGTCAACGAAGGTCCAGTATCCAAAGAGAACGACAGGTTAACTGTTAGGGTTGTACAGGGATTCGAGTGCCCCCAAAAGAGGAGGAAAGGTTCCTGCTCTGCTCAAAAAGTACTACTGAAGCCTTAGCCCTAAACTCTAAACCCTCAATTCTAAACCCTAAACTCTGCGTCTGAGACTCATTCCACGCTGGAGATGCAGGAATCTGCAAGAGAATGGTGACTTCGCAGTCGCACCGACGCGATCTGCCGGATCGACGGCCGGGTAGCAGAGCAGCGCAGCTCGGAACCGGAGAGGAGAAGCCTTCTTTCTTATAGGGTTCAGGGTGTTTTTGGACAGTTAACTTAACATATCATGATCAGGAAGCCAGATTCTTTCGTACTATACGTAGACCCTGAACCTGTTTTTTGCAACTTTAACTAAGTTCCTGAACAAGATCCCAGCAGCGCCGCTGGCCAGAAGTAGTGCCGCGAGATGACCCCCAGCAGAGGTACCGGCAATGGAGACGTCCGACAAGTCAGCCCCCAATGTAGGTCCCTCCTTATCGAGCCACTCGAGCGCAGCCTTACAGTCCTCCAGCTGTGCTGGCCATTGTGCACCTACTTGTCGGGTAGCAGGGGGAACTGAAGGTTAACCTTTTTGGTTATATAAGGATTATACAGGGGCTATACTACCCCAAAAAGGTTAAAGGTTACCTACTCTACTACTAGGTATAGGTAACTAATTATCCTAAACACTAAACCCTATAAACCCTAAACCCTATAAGCCCTAAACCCTGAACCCTATGAGCCCTAAACCCTGAACCCTAAACCCCACTACTAGGTGCACCTCGCCGCCGGTACTCGCAGCTGACGATCAGGAATCCTTCAGCTGCAAGGGCTTGGAGGACTGGTGCTTGTGGCGAGCAGCGCCGGTGGCCACCGCGCCAGGCACCTTGAGATCCCAATACCCCTTAATTAAGGCGCGCGCGCGCCTAAAAAAAACTACCCTGAAGACAAAACCTACAGAGGAGCGGCCGAGGGAAGTGTACAAAAGTGTGGCAGGCGCAGCAAAATCGCACGTTTTGACCTTCCCCAGCGGTATTGTGGCAGAAGCAAAAACGGGACACGATTTCGTGTCCAGTTTTCTGGGCGCCCTAGGCGACCATCAGTGCTATCATCATCGATGTCAACATCGCTATCATCCTCACAGCCACCATCGATATCACCATCATCTTCATCATTCTCATCATCATCGTTATCATCATCGTCATCAATGTGTTGAGCAGTGGGCTTTTTGTGTGCTGGGAAAAGCCGGCCTGAATTTATTCTCCGGACCTGGGCTGCAAAGCTAGTCTTACGGCAGAAGGCGAAAACACTGGTGGGGCCGATGACTTTGAAGGTCGCGGCAAGTTTGTTGAGGTTTGTGGGTGGAAAAGATATGGGGCAAAAGGTCTTTGCACAGTCACCTTTGCCAGATCGCCAGGTCATCATCATTGCTACCACGCGATTGTTATCATCATCGTCATCATCATCGTTATCATCATCGCCATCGCCATCGATATCATCGTGACCATCGTAAGTTTCATCAGCATCGTTGTCTTCCTCGTCGTCAACATTTCGAGCGGTAGTTTTTTTTAGGCGCGCAAGCCTTAATTAAGGAATATACCGTAAATCATAATATTAAGCCCCCTATAGTTTTATTAAGGTATATTCATATTCCTTAATTAAGGGGTATTGGGATCTCTGGGCACCGCCATGGATCAGGAACAGCACGGGGTATCCATCCCTCGGCGCCGGAACTCCCGGCCACCAGATGTCGATGGGTGCTTGGAGCGATGAAGGCTGGATCTGCTCGAGGCGGATTGGAGCCTGCATGTTCTTTCCAGGCACCTCGGAGAAGAAGATGTAGAGGTAGGGATTCAGCAGCGTCAGCCAGGGCTGGGGTGGTCGCGGCTGCGGCTGCCACTTTAACTTTAGCTGTGACGCAGCGCGCCAGCGTCGCATGCTGGCCGCAGCGCATGACACGGCGGAGAGGAGCCAGCAAGGTCGTGAGTGCGAGGTGAAGAAAAAGATGCCACAGAAGCCGCAGGCATAAAAGCTGCTGTGGCCAACGAGGTAGGTCATCAGTAGATCCAGCAAGGGAGGGACTTGCCTTGGCTCTTGTTGGGAGTTTATTGTATGAGTTGCCATGATAAGCAAGCCACGTTATCTGCTACAGATCCCTATGTTACGGTAACATAACTCTAAATTCCCCCTAAACCCGAAGCCCCTAAGCCCAACCGCCCTAAAAACAAGAACCCGAACCCTAGCCAAAAACATATAATTCTAGCTGTTTCTTAGGGATTACAATAACCAAAAATTAAAGACTATTTCTAAGTACCCCCAAGAACCCTTCTGGGATAACCTTATAGGATTCTATATATGAGCCCCAAAAAGGAACTACCTTCGGGTAATGACAAGAACCCAGGTGCCCGAAGGGAGGTGGGATCCGGAAGTGCGAGGCCAAGCTGAGGGAGAGCACATAAGGACCCACGTCTCCCAAAGCCAACCTCGGTGTAACTAAGGAATACTACGGTTGATGATATAAATCCTGCATTACCTTAAGGACCCTAAACTGTGGGAATTATGGTATATTCCTTATTATGCGTGATGCAGGATTATATATCATCAATCGTATAGGGTTCCTTTAAGGGATGTATAAAGGATCTACAGCTTTTAGGGTTTATAAGGGGTTTAGGGTGTAGGGTTTAGGGTTTGGGGGGTTTTAGAGTTTCGGGGTTTTCGGTTTAGGCAGTTTAGAGGGTTAGAGCTTTTGTTTTTGTTTTCTGAAAAACGTGAAGTGTAACCATCCAGCTGCCAAGCAACTTCCCTAAGCCCCACCAGCCGCAGAGCCATAGAATCCAGATGAAAGAATTGCACTCCATGGCCCGAAGGACGGCGCCCGATCCCGTCAAATCAGGAGTACACCTCAAATTAGAAGGGACTTATATAATATTATGATGATTTAGGGTATACTACTGTACTTCATGAGGGGATATACAAAGGACTTAAAATTATGGTTTAAGGAGGCTTCTTGAATTAAGGGGTACAAACTGGCTCTCCGGGAATACTATTGCGACTGCCGGAAAGGATTCCCTTAAGGGCTTCTTGAAGGGGTCCATGATGCCCTAAGCCCTTAACACCTAAACTCCAGACTCCAACCCCAGACCTTCCAGGGGTTTATAATAGAGATCTGGGATTTTGGGGCTTCCATGTGGGAAAGTAAGCTGCACAGAAATCAGGTGCGCCGGGCAGTTTCGGTGAAGGTTCAGGATTTAGCCCGTCTTGAGAAATTCACAATGAGGCTGAGCTGGGGTGGCGCGGGTGTGGATAGCCCGAAGCCCCAAACCCTAGAACCCTAAAACCTTGAACCCCATCCCTACATCCCTAGACACGTCTAGAACGCTTGCAGCACAAGCAGACAGCTTAACCCGCCAGGATCTGGGCAACGGCCTCGGCATGCCGAAGTTAGGAATTTTGGTTGAGAGTTTAGGGTTTAAGGGTTTAAGGGTTTAGGGCTTAGGGTTCAACGGTTTAGGGTTTAGGTTTAGGGTTAAGGTTATTCGATAGAGTCGAGTAGCACAAAAAAAGCTGAACTAAGACACTATATAAATATCCCGGGTTGAAGACGTCTTGGCATCGGGGACTTTGTTTCAAGCACTTAAGGATTATGGGGCATGTATCAGGAGATGCACTTCGCTTTAGTTCCTGCCTCGTCATCCTTCGTTGCCTTTGGCAAACTTGGGTCGGAACCCGCTTCGCGGGCGCCAGCAGGTGCAGATGCGAGTTGCGGCCTAAAACTAGTGACATGACGATGAGTTTTTCGGACTTGAAGGGCTTTCCAAGAGCTCTCCATATGTATCCCAGAATCCAGAACTCTAAACCCTAACGTCCTCACCCCTAAGCTCGAAAAGCCTCTACTGTCTAGCTCCGTTTGTTTCTTTCTTTCTTTCTCACTTGAAAGACTCGTAGCATGGATAAGCCCCTTAGGGCCTTGAGGCCGTGGCTCAGCTGCCCCATGCGGTCAATCATTATCCTAAAGGCACTTCTGCCTCGGGATTCGGGTGCCTCATGCACCCGAACCGACTAAAAACCCACAGCTTTTGCCGGGTCCCCACATGCACTCGCGGAATTTTGAAAGGATCTAATTTCAGCAAAGTAGGCTCGTTGTTGTGAGGAGAGGTCACTGGTACTCTCTTGCTGAAGTATGGCGCACCTAGGCATGGAAACGCGTACACCGCAGACGACATACACTGGTCAGCAACCTTGCGCCAGAAGCACTTGGAGGCTCATGGGTAGTTCTAAGTGGGATTATTAGTCCCCTTATATGGGTTATAATTATAGTTACCCACTTATAACTCAACTTATAACTACCCATGAACCTCCAAGCACGGTTTCGTGGACTTCTTCTGCTGTCGTTGGGAACCCGTGGGAAGACTAGCTGGGGAAAAACTTCATCCAAGCGACAACTTCTGACTCTAATGACACAGAAGCTAGGCAGGTACGCTGGATGAACTATATGGCAAGACCGACGACTCCAGTTGCATGGGTTCTGGATGTTGTAGTCAAGTGTAGTCCTCTATGCTACCCACCACAATAAATCGACTGTTCAGAGAGCAACTGGAGCAGGGATGAATCGCGAGGAGCCCCCTCGCTTTAAAGTGCGTTCAACAACGTGAAGACTCTCTTCAAAGACACTGGCAAAGATCAAGATTGCCGCAGTTACATACCATGTTTCCGCAGATATAGCTGTGGTTGGAGCATGTTCCAAGTCTTCCATTTAAATACATACCAGGAACTTTTCTACGATGCATTCGTGGCTCTCGTCCAAACGGCTCTCACTGAAGCCACAGTTTTCATGCCGGTAGAGGATTTTGGGTCCCTTCCACTCCTTCCTCACGGCACCGGTCACCGGATGCCTTGTCTGGGTCTGTAGGATCCACTCTTGCACCTGACTGCTTCACTTCTTCAGTGAACCAAGATCATGAAGAAGCACAGTGTCATGGCCGCATCTTACATCGTCAAGGCATACACCCGAGTCTGCTTGCTCCTGGCCTCAGACTCTGTGGCCTCTGCGAATTCAACGATGTACTCCGGGTAGACTTGCGCCGAATTCAGAAGAATGAATTCACGCTGGCCCTGTCTGCCCGGGTTTGCCAGAACACAGTGCTTCGCCTGTCTCGCTGCTTCCTTGCCGGCCTCGTCATGCCAGCCCTTTTCGGTGTAATAGATTTGGCCACAGACCGCGCGGCACAAGATCACATACTTGGGTCCCGCCTCGTCAGGGTGAGCTTTGGGCTTGATTGCCCTCCAAAGTGAGACTACAGGAATCAGCTAAGCCCCTGGCGGGCTGAGGCTTTTAAGGGAAGGACCCGGTTGTCCTGCAGCCCGCTTACTTGACTTGGGTTTCGCCCCTAAACCCTAAACCCACCTTGTCTGGGCAATAGCTGATGCTCTTGGACAGGTCCTCCGCGAGGTAAACCCCAGGGCCATATCTGCGTCCGTGTGTGCTTCGCTCCTTAGGTTGAACCCAATGATGAACGAACCATACTCTATTTCTAAGACACTCGGGGCTCACTTGGGTCCGCAGGCCATATGTATCCGTGTAATTAGTGACATGTTTAGTTATTGTGATAACCCGCCCTTGGTAGAAAGGATGGCAAAAATTCAAGCAAGCTAGCTGGATCGATCGACGCATGAATAGGCAGAACATACACAGGTAGATAGATAGACAGTTACATATGCTGATCGCTAGATAGCTACAAAGGTTGGTAGACAGATGGCTCGATTAGTAGGCTTAAAAAGAGGGATAAAGTAGATAGATAGATCGATAGGTAGATAGCTAGCAGCTAGCTAGATCGATATATATATATATATATAGTCAAACCCAAAATAGATAGATAGCCAGGTAGATAGATAGATGTAGATGGACAGTTGGATCGATAGGTAGATAGACGGACGGATAGGCGGATGGATAAATGGACCGACAGATGCATACTCGCACGCTGTACATGGGAAACAGAGGCAGGGAAGAGCTATAAGGTTAGAAGCATGGACTCGTCTTTCCCAAACTCCGACAGGTAAGCTCCCAAACTCCGGCCTGCGGGCCATGATATCACTGTTCCTCTGTTATTCTTTGCGAAGCTCTCTTCAAAATCAAGTGTAGATCAGGACAGAGCCTACTGCCAGAGGCCTAAACTTCTACCCGGTTCGTGAGCCTACATCCCAGACCCTGCAGTCCCGATGAACCCTATACTACAAACCAAACCTCAGTCCAAAATCCAAGCTACCTCAGAAAAAGACTGCACCCGAGTTTGAGTCAAGACTACAACTCGGCCTTAACATGCCGCCAAGGCAAGATTCACGGGTCTGCACGCTGGCCCCTCGTAAGCCCTCACGCTACTTTTTGACCACCCATTTCTAGAGAATGACCTCACAAACTGAGTCACCATGGCTGCTTCAAGACCTTGCAGAAATCTGCCTATGTTGAAATCCATGGAAAGGACCAAATGCAGAGCGCCTAAACCTCAAACCCAAAACTGTAATCGTAGAGCCTGCACACTGCATACTACCGCAGGACGAAAGTTCGCGACACTGCCTTTAACTCAACATATGTGGTAGTGCCACCCCTTTTCCCCCTAGATTCCTTCACAAGATCCCCAATGCTCTCCGCCGAGAACATTATAGTAGTATAATTTTATTCCGGGGAATTAACTACTCCGCCACGCTGGCCACGTAAAACGGACTTCTGGCCTCGCCGCTTCTCCGCGGCACATGTTGATGGCACTTTGAGACAATCCTCCGTATGTCGAAACTTTCTTCCCGGTGATGTATGCCCCACACCCCCAGACTACACATTTAGTACCTGTTTTGGCTACCTTGGGCTCTTTTTTTATGGAATCCTAGCCATAATACAAGTTATCCAATGTAGGTCCAGGTGCGGTAACTTCGAAGCCCCGCTCTGCAATGGACTCAGCAGCCTGAAAAGGGACAGTTCGAGGTCCATATCGTGTTTTGGGAGCTTGTCGTGTCGCATAATATCAGCTTTGTGGTTGCCTTCTTAGAGTTCTACAAGGGCTACATCGGATTTCTATAAGGATTTACTGTCTGGTTCCTAGTAGGGAATGAAGGAATGGATCCCTGTGATAGCCCCTTAAGGTCCCCTATAGTAGTTTCCCCATTCCCCACTAAGAATCAGACAGCTTATGGTGGTTTTCGTCTTGGGGTTCAGGAGGTCCAGGTCGCTAAGTCGCTAAGTCGGTGTCTGCGTGTCATGTAATTGTTGTACCAATACGGCTGATGATATAGATGCTGCATTACCTAATGACCCTAGACTATGGGAACTGTTGTATATTCCTTATGACGAGTAATGCAGGGTTGGCATCATCAACCGTACCGCTTAGGGCTAAACCCCTGGACCTGAACCTCCCCGAATCCCCTGCAACAAAGAATTGTATAAGCTTCGGGCCGACAGCTATCGTGTTTCGCGCGGAACTCATCAGAAAATGCACAAAGCACACAAACACCAAGTTCACCGAACATTTCCCGTTAGTCAGCTGTTAGGGGAACCACCTCTACTGCTTTATGAAGCTCCTACATGTGTAGCCATCTACATGAATCTAGCGAATAAACCACATGCCCGCCAAAACGACCTGCCCAACGGGTCCGAGGTTCTAGTATGGGATACCGCTGCAAATCATAAAAACCAAATCGTAATATAGAAGTCTACATTTTGCTATATAACGCAAAAGGTTCGGTTCGGGGATCCCCACAAAACAGCACGTCACCTGTACGACACGGACCCCAAGACGAAACGAAGCCCATTCTAGCGATCCTGCAGTGCACCTAAACCCTAAACCTTAGAAGGGGCCCCCACCCTGTAATAGTGGTATAATAGGAATATAAGAGGGCCCTTATATATAATCCTAGTATAGTCACTATTACAGGGTTGGGGGCAGCTTCTAACCTAAACCCCTCAAGCCTAAACCTACAGTAAACTCCTCAAGCCTAAACCCTGAAACGACTCGAGCACTAAGCCTCACGAGAGGTGCCGTGCCAAAGCAGCAGCTCATTGATCGGAGCCTGAAACTTAGCTTCACAAGGGGTCTTATATCGTGTATGGTTTAGTTTAAAGCCAAAGTTAAGGGACTGACGAACCCGAAGCCGCAAAACCTTACAGCTCGGGGCTTTAGCTTCACAAGGGGTTTCATATCGCTTGTCTTTGAGGATCTCCTCAACCGTAAACTCCAAAACTCTAAACTCCAAAACCCTAAACTCCAAAACCCTAAACCCCAAAGCCCTAAAACCAAAAACCCTAAACCCCAAAACCCTAAACCCCAAAAGCCCAAAACCCAAAACCCTAAACCCCAAAACCCTAAACCCCAAATTTGAGCTCGGACAAGGCTCTGCAAGGGCTGCGAAGGACCAACAAAAAGACGACCCCAAAACGACGAAGTGGGTCTAGGGTTTTGGGGTTTAGGGTTTAGGGTAGTTTAGGGTTTAGGTGTTCAGGGTTTAGGGTTTAGGGAGTAGCCGTTAAACCCTGAACCCCAAAACCCCTAAGCCCCACAAACACTCAACACCTGAAACCCTGATGAACCCCCAAGCCAAAGCCCAAACACGTAAAGCGATGACAAAGCCTAAACCGTAAACCTGAAGCCCTAACCACAAGTGAAGTCTAACTCTAGTAAGGAACCCTAGGAACAATTCTGGCAAGTATCTAGGCCGTTTATTATGAAACTTAAACCGCAATTAAACCGTAGTAGTAGAGTAGTACTACAGTAGTACTACAGTAGTATAGTAGTAGCACAGTAGTACTGTTGATGATAGAAATCCTGCATTACCTTGAGGACCCTAGAGGATGGGAAATATGGTATATTCCTTATAATGGGTCATGCAGGACTTATACCATCAACCGTAGTACAGTAATTCCCTGGGGATCCAGTTACCTAAATAGTAGGTTACTATCCATATATCATATACCCCAGTAACCTGCTATATATGTAACTGGAGCTCCAGGGATTCTAAATAATAACCTACAAAACTAAAAACCTAAAAACAAAGTAATGTTTAAATTAACTAATAACCTACAAAACTTAAAAACAAAAAAAAAAAGGACGATGGAATTCCCAAGGGTCCGCGAGGTCCCGGGCTTCCAGGCGCTCCGCGTCCAGCTCCGCCCAGAGGGCGGCGTTTCCCAGACCGCCCTGGAGCTCCTGACGCTTTTTTTTAAGGGCTCCTTTATTTTTGGGTCCGCACGAAGTGCACCAAAAGCCTGTTCAGAGCTCCTGAAGCTTTAGGGTGTAGGCTCTGGGGTTTCGGGTTGCGGGTTTCGGGGTTTAGGGGTTATTTAAGGTTTAGGGGTTTAGAGTTGAGGCTTTTGGGGTGTAGGCTTTGGGGTTTAAGGGTTATTTAAGGTTTAGGGGTTTGGGGTTTAGGGTTTAGGGGTTTAGGGGTTTAGGGTTCAGGGTTTTAGGGTTTGGGGCTGTTTAGGGTTTAAAGGTTCCTTTAAGCGTGCCTTTGGGGTGTATAATGTTTGGGTTTTAGGTGTGTATGCCTCGTTTGGGGTTCAGCGAAAAGTTGAGGGTATACTTAGAGGTTCATGGGTAGCTATAAGTTTTGGTTATAAGTTCCTTAATATGGGTTGTAAGTATAGTTGCCCTACTTATAACCCTACTTCTAACTACCCATGAACCTCCAAGTAGGGATTGTAAGGGATTACTTTCGAGTTGAGGGTTTAAGGCTTCATGAAGGGCGCCCACCCACGGTAGGAGGGCGGCCTATGCCTTGGGGTTGGGGGCATTGTGTCCCGGTTTAGGGTCAACGCCAGCTTACACTTAAACTCATGTCTCCACATACTTTCATGGCTTGCGGGCTTCAAGATCTCTACCATGTCAGGCAACAACTACAGTAGATGCCCACAAGTTGGAAACCCAATAGCCTCATTCCTTAAAGCTGATAATTTATAGGGAATCCCAGCACTATTTGGCCTTCATCCGGTTTCCAACTTTTTGGGGTTTACTATAGTCGCTTGCACAACAAATGGGAGTTTCTGAAAATCAGGGGTACCTGATTTTGGGGTCCTTGCAGTAAGGATCCTACCATTTAGGATGCTATACTAGGGTCCCCTATTTCCGGAAACTCCCAAGCGGGTAGTTTTCCAAACGAGCATCCTTGTTGGGTCCTTTTTTTACAAGGATGCGGTGCTATTTTAAGGACCTAAAGGGGGAGCCTAGTTTAGAGAACTAGCCACATAAATCCCAACAAGAGCCCAATGTATTTGGGGTTTGTCTTGGTTTCTACTGCAGTGAGGCCTTCATGGTTGAAGGCGACATTGGGGCTCAGGGGTCGGGCCTGGCTGACCTTGAACCTGAATAACCTACCTTTTCAGGGTTCCTTATTATGATTGGGTCTGATGTAGACTAGAGTCTACGTTGCTTCTGCCGTCTCCACGCAATGTGGGCATCAGGGCCCTTATAATTGTTAACAAGAGCCCTTACAGAGCCCTTTAGAGGAACCCCTTCAGAGGCACCCCTTAAAGGGTGCCTTTACGAGTTCATTTAAAAGGCATACCCTTAAAGGAACTCACTTCATTTGTGCCCTTAAAGGAATCCCCAAAAAGGAGCCCTGAACAAGAGCCCAAGCTCTTCTCCTGAGGAGGTGTGCAGCGCAGTTGCCCCGACTCTTTCAGCGCTTCTTGGATGGATCGCTTGAAATCCTTGCAGTGCTTCCAGTGACTCCAACATCCCTGAATTAAGGAATAGACCTCAAATCATACCAGGGATCGCACTACACCTTAAGGTATATTCCTTAATTAAGGATGTTGGAGTCTCTGGGTTTGTGCTTTCGGATTTGGGGTCTCGGGCGAAGGGTTGAGGATTCAAGGTTTCGGATTTGTCGTTCATTGCTTAGGGATTAGGGAGGTTTGAGTTGGTGCAGGCCTAAACCTGAATCCCTAGACGGTTTCAGGTTGCAGCTTCTATTTGGGAAGTGGAATCGCCGAAAGCCAGTGCTGGACTTCGTATTTACCTGTATGCATGTTGTGCTGGTCTACACCAGGCCTCAAGCACTAAGCAAATACACCTTGATTTAAGGATTAGAGCTTGAATTTAGGGTGCACCTGAACCCTGAAAACTGCACCGTACACCCTAACACCAGGCACGAGCCTTCGACACGAAACCTGAACCTTGACAGCATGTGGAGCCACGTTCCAGCTGAAGATTTCATTTTCTGCGGAGTTTGGCTTACGGTTCAGGGTTTAGGGTTCCCAGAGATCCCAATACCCCTTAAGTAAGGAATATACCTTAAACTATATATGGGGCATAATATTATGATTCAGGGTATATTCCTTCATTTAGGGGTATTGGGATCTAAAGGTTTCTGGGGGAACAAAAGGCTAGCGTTGGTGGTTGCAAAGCGATGCGGCGAATATCGCCCCCCCCTCCACAAAAGAAACATGTTTACTTGCTGAATTACTCTGCTAGTTGCTAGTCTTACTAGGTGGGGCTTTTAGAGCCTTTGAAAAATATTAGTAAATCAGATCCTCTAAAGCCCAATCAGGGAAAATATAAAATGTCCCAAAGCCCTACCTAGCTTAGTAAGTCAGCATGCCGAGGCACCGTGTACTGCAGCCAGAGAGACGAATCCTCTCACAAAATTGGCTTATGATTGATGCAGCTTATCGGGTTCGGAAACGACGCAGGGCTTGTGGCCGGGGGTTGATGGTGGTTTTATAGGGTTTCGGGGCTTGAGGGTTCAAAGTTTGTGGACGCAAGGTTTTCTGGCCTACCTAACGTAACCAAAGTACCTGAAGACGAAAAGGGCACAATCCTAAACTATAGCTACGTTTCCTGCTTTTCTTAGGTGCCTTGATTACGCCAGGTAGGGATTGAGAGTCTGTAGGGTCTGGGCTTGCTTGCAGCTGATGAATTCCAAGACACCGAGCAGAAGCTATCCAGCCCTAGCGGTTGACGATTTACCTTAACCTAGCAGAGCCTACTTGTTTGTAGGGTCCCTACAAGTTCCACAATAGGGTATATAATACGACCCTACAAGACAGTAGGTTATGGTAGTTTAAGGTAGGGTTTGGGGTCTGCGAAGAACAAACGATCAGCCCTTTGAATCTCAGATATCAAGCATAGCCTGATTGGTAGTTTTGCAAAAACAAACGGTTGGTTCGAACCCCATATACGTTAGCCTGGCCCTGATCCTACTACAAGCCATCTGCTGAAGCCCCTCTTGATTCACTCGCCGGTTCAGTCAGACATCCACAGTTGTTTTCCAACTTTGCGAATCGAAGCCGTAGTTGCAGCTACTCATGGACCTCCAAGTACGGTGGCCCGCTGGACACCAGCCGTGACGGATAGTAGGCGAACAAGAGCTTTCAATCAAAACCGAACGACAGGTCCTTAACGTCTTACGGAAAGGCTGGATCCGCAGAATGTGATCCACATTAAGATCCCTAACCAGAACATCATTGCCTAAGAACCCGATACGGCTGGCCCGCACTCCCCGGCAATTACCAACATCAGGTAACAGGCCCGGGTAGGCCCTACCGGGTAGGCATCTTTGCTTCAGAGTTCAGAGCTGTCGATGCATCTGCATCTACTTCGTGTGAACACAAACCATGTCTGATCTGCTATGCCAGAGAAGAATGGGATCAACTCTTAGGTTCTCTGGGTCGTTTAAGGGAGCCCTTGAAGGAACCCTTATCTAGGAGGTGCTTTTGAAGCCTTTGATCGTCATTAGTAGTAGGTAAAATCTCTCTTAAGCCCAGTAAAGAGCAAATATAAAATGTCCCAAAGCCCTACCTACCCTAAACTGCCATATGGACCATCGCCTACTTTTTTTGTAGGTTCTTACTATGCATCTAACATGGATTCTAGATGGACCCTACAAAAAGGTAGGGTTTGGTAGGTTAAGGTAGTTCGATGCCCCAAGTTCCAGGAGGGCCTCCACCCGTCGAGCCGACAGCACCTCCTGCGCAGCTCCGCTGGTGGTCTCGTCCGCGAGCCTCAGTTTTGGGGTTTAGGGTTTAGGGTTTACCCAGAGGCTCCATAGTAGTTCCTTTTTGGGATTACCTTATCGGATTCTATATATGAGCCCCAAAAAGGAACTACTTTACCTATATAGGGAGTACTTAAAGACCAAGTATATACTATTTGGGCACATGGACCCTTAGGGTCAGAGTTGCGCTGAATCGTCGGAAGCAAGATGTGAAGGCTGCAGGTATAGAGTTTAGAACTTTGGATGTTGTGCTTATATGAGTATGATAGATCAGGATCTGCTAAACGAGGGACGTCCGGATATCGGGCACAGCTTGTGCAAAAGCTACACCCCTGCAGTTGCTGAACCTTAAAGCCTTAACCCCGAACTCTAAACCCCTAAGCCCTAAACCCACAACCTCTAAACCATGAGCCCCGAAACCCAAAAGCCCAAATCTGAGATTCTCACACACTTTTTAAAGGGTTACTACACGGGAGCTAAAGTAGGGTTTAGGTATGGTTCAGGGGCCTTATAATATTAGACTTAGGGTCCTTAGAAGGATTCTCTAAAGGGCTGCTATAGGGGATCTTTAACGTTTTGCGTCTCTGAGGCTCAAGACGAACCAGGCCGAATCGGAAGCGGAACGTTGGTTTGGACGCCCCGGGTCACTTTGCCAGGGTTTAGGGGTTTAGGGGTTTAGGGAAGTAGTGGCAACATAGTGGCTACATGAAGAGGGAACATAAGGTAAACCCAAGTCCCAAAGCGCCCTAAGTACCCTATACTGCCGCGGTAGGTCGTCTGGAGGATTTCTGGGTGAGGAATCACTACTCTGAGTTGGGGAGGTATCCCTCCATAACGGTACCTAGGACCTTTTGGGAGTAAGAACCCCCCGGACATCGCCCCTCCACCCCGACATGGATCAGGCCCCCAGAACAGCAACCAAACTCAATCCAAGACTCCCACATGGGAGTTTCCGAAAATTCGGGGTACCTTATATGGGGCCCTTTTAATAAGAATCCCACTACTTAGGGTACTATATAAGGGATTATATAATATTTTGGGCCCCCCATTTCCGGAAACCTTTTAACCTAAAAGCTCCTCCCCCAGGTTTCCGCAACGCTAAACCCGAAGCCCCTCCCCAAACCCTAAACCTGAAACCCTCCTTTTCCCTAACCCTGCTTCCGAAACCCTAAGCACCTAAACCCCAACGCCTCTGAACCCCAAAACCCTGAACCTTAAACCCTAAATTCTAAACCTTGACCCTACAGTAGAAGCCCAAAAGTTGGAAACCCCATAGCCTCAATCCTTATAAGACTAATGTATAAGGAATCCCAGCACTATTTGGCCTTCATCCGGCCTTCAACTTTATGAGGTTTACTGTAACCCTAGAGACTCTGAAGCGGAGCCGAGAGTCAGCTGCATGAGCTCCAGGATGCGTGGCTTTACTGCCCAGTGCTCTCGGAAGGCGTCGACGTGGGGATTCTTCGCCACCTGCTGAGGTCGTTCATGGCTCAGGGGTTTAGGGTTTAGGGTTTAATTAGGGTTCAGGGTTTAAGGGTTTAGGGTTTAGGGTTTAATTAGGGTTCAGGGTTTAAGGGTTTAGGGTTTAGGGTTTAGGGTTTAGGATTTAGGGTTTAGGGTTTAGGGTTCAGGGTTTGATTAGGGTTCAGGGTTTAATTAGGGTTGAGGACACCTGCACATACTATAGATTGCCCTAGGGCTCCATTTACCTAAATATAGTTCAGCAGGTAACCGGGGTATAATATGTATATATATATATATATATATAGATAGATAGATAGATATATGTATATTACACATAGGGTTATAACCTACTATTGATTGAATTTAGGAGTACCAGGCTATCATAATAAAGAGATGTTACGCTGCTGCGTAGCGAGGCGGAGGATGAATGATACTGTTGATGGACAAAATCCTGCATGACCCTTAAGGGTACCTTTTAAGGGGTTCCTTGAAGGGATCTATAGGGTTTTAGGGTTTGGGGTTGATATAAATCCTGCATGACCTTAAGGACCCTAAACTATGGGAACTATGGTATATTCCTTATATTGGGTCATGCAGGCACTGATCAATCACGGCTTGAAGGCTTCAAGCTGCTAACAGGCTCCAGCGGCACATTGGGGAGTCAGGTCATTTAAGGTCTTTTAGGGGTCCTTGTAAGAGGGATGCCACTATGGTTGGGTGTAACGATTTTCCAGAGGGTGGCGATCCCAATGCGAGACTTATTCTCGCTTCTGACGTTACACGGGTATGTAGGTCCTTTTTATAAGGGTGCCGTGCTATTTGGGGATACAATGGGGCCCGAATTTAGGGACCTACCCACATGCTTACGGCTTGGTAGAGTAGTTACAAGGTCTAGGCCCGAAGCACAAAGGCAAACAAACCCACTCCAGAACCTCCGAAAGACGACCATTGCAAGCCAGTGGCATTCCTCCAGTAGAGGGGCAGCTCCAGCAGAAAGGGAGCCTCCCTTGACAGCGACGGGGCCTCCTCCCCGCCGTGTAGACGCTGGTAGATCACCAAATATTCCTCCGAGGGCACGGGGTTAGCCTTAAACACTACAAGCTCAATGAGGAAGTTTTCGATCAAAACTACGACGTCTGTGCCACTACTTGTTACTTCTGGCGGTACACATGGGCATTTGCCCTTGCAGTGCACTGCAGGGCAACCCAAGCGCAAACCCAGAAAGGTTTTTGAGGTGAGAATACGGAGCCGGGCTCCTGAAGCTCTACAGGCTTAGCACTGATCGGCAGGATTTTGTTCAGGGTTTTGAGGTGAGGGTTTAGAGATTGGAGGGTTTAGAGATTGGAATTTGAGGTTTAGGCTTTAGGGTTTTGGTGTTTCTACGCGTTGCCGCCCCTCCGTATCTGCTTGACCTTAACCCTAAGCTGAAACTGCTGAATGCCCTCACCAAATCATCCCAACCCTAGCCTAAGCCCTCTCCCTGTCCCCGCTGGCCAAGTTGCTGGGTAAACCTGGTCAGTGCTGTACCTTGGAGAACGGAATCTAGCCGCTGGCTATAGCCTTAAGGACTCAGAACTAAAGGCCTTGGGTTCCAACATCATGCTGCTTCGGATGCTGTGCTATTTTGAGCCTGAGGCTCAGAGGTCTTAAACCATATATCTATACCTATATATATATATATATATATATATATATACACATACATATATTATATTGAAATTATATTGTATATATATATATATATATATACATATATATATATAATACCTCACACCCTCAACCTCTGAACCCCAAAAGCCGAGACCTCCCAACATGCCAAGTCGCACGCACATCTCCCGGTAGGTGTTGACGGCACGCGCCCGATCTCCCAAGGTGCTGTCAGACTGCTTCCTCGCCCACCTCTAGTTGAAAGTTTTGGGGCCCAAAGGGCCCTGAGTACCTATTTTGTGGAATGTAGGGCTCCTTTAGCTAAGGGTCCCTTTAAAGGGATCTATAAAGACTCTACATGGTAGAATGTCAGGCTTCTGGACTGTCGAGGCGTCGAACCCAAAGCCCAGAATCCTAAACCAACCAACCCTAACCCACTACCCTTTGCACTAGTATTGACCATACCCTAAGGCTCCAAGTACCTATAATTAGCATACACTCTCCGAATTAGTACCCTACATAACTACTATCCTAAACCCGAATACCAAACTATTGGGTCCTTTGGACCCTTAGGGATACAGTTTGGGGATCTTCGTGCTCGGACTCTGGAGGGTCCAATCCCAACGCCGCTTTCGCCGCTTCGGTATTAAGGTTTGGGGGTTAACCCGGGCCGCAAGGATTAGAGCAGGTTTTGGGGCATACTAAAGTAGAACATGATGGGGTCTTTAGTGGAAGACTTGTGCTAGCCGGTTTTGATCGTAGAATATCCTGGGGTCTTTAAGAGAATACTGCTACTAATCCTTCAGATCCCAGAAAACCTGGGAGCTAGGATGGGGATATAGACCCTCTCAACAAGTAGGGTTCAGAAGGGGTACCCTGTAAGGGGTCTCCCTAATAATACTACCTAAAACGCTAACCCCTCATCTTCTCAACTGCGAGGCGCTTCATAATGGCCGCGGGCTCTCTCTCCTCGGTGTAGTGAAACTTTCCCAAGCCTTGGATTCAAGTGCTTACTGTTTTTCTGAGGGGGATAGACAGGGTATTGATACGCGTGCTGGAACTTCTTCCAAGGTTTTGTTGGTTTGATAACGGGTTTGAGTAGGCTCCTATAGGTCTTTTGCAGGCGTATAAGGGGTTTTGGGGCTTAGGGTTAACTGTGGGGTTTAGCTGGTGGTGGAACCACCGCTGTTGCTGATGCTGCGACTAAAGGCATGAACTACGAGCACCGCCGTTGCTTCTGTTGTGCTGAAACTCGTGGTGATGCTGGTGATGATGTCGACGGCACACCGACACGCTTCCAGTCTGAAATCTGCATCAGCCTGCCGGCCATTCTTCGTGCAGGTCAACATCTGATCCCCTCAAGGGGTCCATATACTCATTAGCACAAAAGTAGGTGCCAGAGGGTTGTAAACCTCCTGATTCTGTTGCTTTTTAGGTCCTTGCAAACCCCAAATCCCCCTAGGTTCGACGCCAGCAGGCACACGCGACAGAGGAGGAGTGCGCGGGTCTCTTCGTAGAAGCCGTCCGGCTCAGCCCGAGAGTACCTTGCCGCTGATGAAGACTGCAGGGGCCTCATAATACTTAGCATTGGTTTTATGGTTTAAGGAGTAATATTTCGAACAGGGCTTAAGGAGTAATTAGGGCTCTATAATGTTTAGAATAAGGTTTAGGGCTTAGGGGTTGAGGGGCATTCTAACAATCACAAGAGGGCAGTGGGGATATTATCGTAAAGTACACGTTGTTTCAAGCGTTACGGGGGCAAATTCCATTGCTATTTCTTCCGACCCTCTCCTGCATTCCTGTATGGTGTATAGGGTTTTATGCTCTATGGTTCAGGGTTACATGAGATGGGACTAGAACATATTGCAAATACCAGTGCCAACAGGAAAATAGTACTTCAGGCGCTTCAGGGGTGCGTCCACCAGCCGAATTGGCTGTAGTATGGCTCCAAGCGTCGGGGTTTGGGGTTCGATGATATTTAGCATCAAGCTTAAGCCCTGAATCCAGGAGAAGCTTCACACGGTTACCAACTGAAGCCTAAAGCCAGGGCTCTCTAACCCTGAGCCTAAATAACCTCAACAGCCTTAAGCTGGTTTCTTGTTAAGGAAGTCTTCAGTTCCCGTAATAGCGATCTATGGTAAATGATATGATTTCCCGGTTTCTGGTAACTTACATTAAATCCCTGAACAAGAGCATCCTGAAGCCGTGACCAAGAGCAACTCAGCTCTGGTTTAGGCAGCTCCTCAAATCAGAAAATGCGAACTGAAAACAACGATTTGAACTCCTCCAACCGTTACTAGTAGTGAAGCAGCCCTGAAACGAACCCTTTGCAGAACCCTGTAACCCTTTAAGGAACCCCTAACGGAACCCCTTCAATTAATGAGCCCTTCAAGCAGCGCTTCAGAGTTGCTCGTCGGCTTTAGTCACACTCTCAGTGAAGTAGAGCCCCTTGCCATACCTTGGCTTGGGGTTTAGAGCTTTGGGATTTCGGGTTTGGGTTTAGGGCTTAATTAAGGTAAGGGTTTTCGGCTTCGGGTTTGGGGTTTAGAAATTCCTACCTAGTAGTTCTGGCGCAGTGCATCCCGCATCATGTGCTGGCGACTAGAGCTATTTAAGACTTGCGGTTTATAGCTCCGCCTTCTGGCTAAGTACTCGGGGGTTGTAAGGACCCTGCTACTCGCTTGTCTACTTTTGTTCCAGAACCCTAAACCTTAAAGACCCCTAAATCCTAAATCCCACACCCTTACTTGGCACATTGAGGTGGGGTTTACGGTGGGTTAATATCAAGACCTTTCTCCGAAGGAGCCCGTGTAGAGAGGAACCCACACTGCGCAAACTGCAAACCCCAAGTGCCGGCAACGCAACAGAAACAGCCAACAAGAACTCTGTTCAAACCCCGTCACTAATCCGGAGAACAAACATCTTGAGCTACAGCCCTGTAAATGCAATAAGCCCCAGAACCCCTACAAGTCCGATTAATTTGCCCTAGAAGCCCTGAAAAATGACCACGCGAAGCCCTATAGATCCTATACCCCAGAATCCAAGACACATGGGATTCTTCTTGTAAGGTCGGGGTGCATGGTACCGCCGCCGGTACCAGCCAAGGCCAGATCGAAATCCGCCTCCGCAATCCTGAAGGGATGTTCCAAAACCCTAAACCTTTATGGATCCCTTTAAAGGAACCACTATGATCCCTTTAAAGAACCCTAAGAAACCCCTAAACCCCTAGACCCTTCAACCCAAAACTATGGTGTCAGGGCCGGGGAGGGCCAAGGGGGGAGGGGGTGTAAGGTTCCGGGTGGGGTGGACGGGGAGGCTTTAGGGTCTCAAAGGTTCTTCTAGGTCTAGGGTTTACCTGTAGCCGGAAAGACCTACCGTTTTAGGGTTCCTTATTATGGTTTCTAGATATAGTTCCTTAAAAAGGTAGGTCTTTTCGGCTACAGGTAGGGTTTAGGGTCGAAGACAAACAAGTGGGTCTGGTGTTTCTGGCTTTCTGTGGGTGGAGCCATGTGGCGACAGACTTTGGTATTCACCGTCAACTGATTCACTCGCATTTAAAAGATCAAGCATTGTCCGAAACCAAAGAGGTGAGACCTTGACGACGTCAGTTGGGTTTTGAGGCACCTTATTGCAGTGTAAGAGCTGTCGCTATACAGGGCGTTGTATCACTAAGCACCCCATTACAAGCTTACATAAGGCGTAGTCCCCCAGATCTTCCTAAATTCCTCAATTAAGGAATACACCTTCGATCCTTAGATCACATTAGGGATTCTACTCGAATTTCTTCAGGCAAGCGACTCTTGGAAGATCTGGGCTGGAACTGCCAGAGACTCAAAATGTGAGGGGATTCCGGGGGTAGATTTCAGTACTCGCGTTTAGGGCTTATGGTTTTTAGGGTTTAGAGTTTAGGGAGGCTCTGCTACGCATGCTTCGATTCAGCTGCTGAGGCCATAGCATGTCAGCGAATTAGACTTGCCTGGACCCTAAGAAACCTACCCTTCTTTTAGGGTTCTGTTTAAATCCTTAACAAGGTAGGTTTATCAGGCTTACGGTGGAGTTTGGGGGTGTCGATTTCTCAGTTCCACTGGATCCTTTTGGCAGGGCATTGGGGTTCAGACCCTCTGCTTTGCTGCCAGGCGGCATCAGGCCTTGTCGCACGGACGTCCCGTGCCAGAGGTACACCTCGTTCACATCGTCGTCCAAGTCGCCTTTATATGCCCTAAACCCTAAACCCCTAAACCCTTAAACCCTAACCCCTAAACCCCTAAACTCTAAACCTAAACCGTCGTCCAAGTCGCCTTCATCTGCCCGACTTGGAACACAGGTCGACCCTGCCTCCCTAAAGACTCTCTGGGTACCCTAAACCCTACACCCCCTATCGATCCCTTAAAGGAACCCTGTAACCCTGGCACCCTGAAGACTCAGAGCCCTAAACCCTAAAGGCCCAGGGCTCTGAGTCGAAAAACGTTGATGTACGCATAGAAAGGGCTGGGTCTAATAAGGTCGAGGAAGACCGCCCCAAACTTGGCCCTAAACCCTGAACCCAAGGACTACCGGCACCCAATCCATGCCCGGCGGCTCAGCATGTCGCTCAAAGGGAGACTGACCAGGGCATCGCGGGTGAAGATGTCCTGTGAAATTGCTGGCTGTTGCAGAGTTGGGTCGCGATTTCTGTAACGAGTCCACTCCCGGAATTCAGGGTTTCGACGGACCGTAAGGATTAGAATGATTCGAACAAATCTACGGGGCAGATCAGACCATGTGACTGTACTCCAGAACCCTAAGAAATCTGTAGAACCGCTAACGGTTCAGCAGGCTTCCGTATGAACACCCTGACACCTAGAAAGTATCACGCTCCTCGCGCCGATGCCAAAAGACGCCTAAACAACAGAAGGCCAAACGCCCTAATTCTTGCGACTCCTGAAATTCTGAAGACCAGAAGATCAGGAAGCCCTAAACCCAACAAAGCAAATTTTCTCAAGTACTAAACTAAGCCTAACAAATCAGAAAGACGTAAGCCCGAAACCACGAATCAAGAACCTAAACACCTCACTCCAAACACTGAAAAGGCAAGACTGCAAGGCAACAACCCCAAACCCCGAGCCTTAAATATGTATACATTACATATACATATACATATACATATACATATACATATACATATATGATATAGTATGATGTGAACGTGAACATGGACAAAACATAGCACACACATATACACAGTATTAGTATGTATATATATTTTCTTCTATCTACGCACCGAACTATGTTTACATTAACATAATATATATATATATATATATATAATATAATATGATAAAGTATAATAGAATAGAATAGAATAGAATAGAATAGAATATAATATATAAATAATTAATATGTATATATATATATATAGGTAAATATACACACACTAAATATACTAAATTTTCCAAATCCTAAGTGTGGCCGCGGTGCCGGGCTTGGGGCCTCACAGCGGCCGCGAGCTTCTCCTGGGCTCTCAAGTACCCTGAGGGTCCAAAGGGTCCAATGGTTAGGTACTCGGGTTTAGGGTAGTAATTATGTAGGTTTCGATTTTGGAGAGGATATGATAATTATGTACTTGGACCCTAAGGCTTAGGGGTAGCCGAGGAACCCCAAAGGCAAGATTTCGTATACCCTTGAGGGTCCATGTACTTACGGATTCCTTCAAGGATTACTTTACGGGCTCCCATAAGGGATAATTAGGTACCATAGGGATTTATGGTACAAGGGTCCATGAAACCATACTTGTGAACTTGTGATAGGGATCCTTCAAGGGTTCTTTTCAGGAATGTAGCCACACAGTATATGCGATGGCATCAAAGAATTCCCTATCTACGTACTGTAGCGCGAATGTATATACTATGTGGGTATATGGACTCTGAAGGATAGAATACCGCAAAGGGAGCTCTGGAACGAACCCTTAAGGAGCCGAAACATGCAACAACAAGGCACGCAATCAGACCTTTTAAATTTTACAGTAAACGGCACCCAGAAGCCCTCAAACCCCAAACCCTAAACGCCAGTTTCGGCCCGCGACCTGATAGCATTCCGCCCCCAGATCTTCCAACATCCCTTCATCAAGGAATCTACCTTAAATCATATCCTGGGTCCTATCATAGTTTACCTTAATCCACCATTTCCCACTTGTTTTGTAGGTTCTTATTATACGGCCCTTTATGCACTGTGTAGGGGCCCTACAAAAATGTAGGTGTTGGTGGGTTAAGGTGTATTCCTTACGCAAGGGATCATTCCCCTACTTGTCGGGTATCATGGCAAACTAAAGCTTAGCCTTTTTGGGTATATAGGGACTATATAGGGACTGCACTACCCAAAAAAAGGTTAAAGGTTTCCTACTCTACTCCTAGGTATAGGTAACTACACCCTATAAACCCTACAAACCCTATAAACCCTAAACCCTACTACTAGGTGCACCTCTCCCAGATCCAAGTCTCGAATTTCTGCCTTCCGGACCATGTACTTGGCAAAGAGCTCAGAGTTTTCCTTGGCTTTGGTGGTTAGGGTTTGGGATGTCATGTTTCTTGCGTCAGGCTATGGCAGACAAACTGGGGCTCATGTCTCTTGCTTCCATTTAGGGCAGCAAAACGGGGTGCTTTTGGGCTCCCCATGTCTTGCTATAGTGTCTACGGAAGATCTCAGGACTCCGGAGGGTCCTGCTGACGTCTCGGCCTGATTACACCCTTAACCCAAAACACTCCGAAACCCTAAACTCCTGACAAAACCTCAACCCTAAACCGCTATAAACCCCCTCAACCCTAAAGCCTCAACCCTCAAACCCGAACCAAGGCTATCCCGACGCCATTTTGTCAGGGCCTTCAACATTAGAAGAAGCTTTGGGGGTATATTATGCTGAGTATACTATACTTATAATAAGGAACCCCAAAACAGTGTTGGTAAAAAGTCAGGCCCCCATTTTACATCCTTATACCAGCCCTTAGAATGGCTCCCATAGACCCCTTTAAAGGAACCCCAAGGCCTCTTATTAGCCCTTCTAGACCACCTTTTCACGAAAACACCTTAAACGAACCCTAAGGCCCCTATATTTGGGAGTTTCCTGAAATAGGGGACCCGAGTAATATAGTACCCTAGACAACAGGATCCTTATTGTAAGGACCCCAGAGCCCGTTAAAGGAACCCTTATAGTACCCTTGTTAGGGTACCCCTTAAAATACCCCCTATTTGGGTCAAACCCCAAAAAAAGATACCCCTGGATAATTGTCATAAGGACCCCTAAATCAAATACCCCCCCCAAATTTTCGGAAACTCCTTAGTTGGGTCAAACCCCAAACTGTTCGATCTCAGCTGTGCGACCACCCGCACCAACTGGAGCATTCCGAAGCCGGTAGGGAGACCCGGATCTCCACCTAAGGGTTTAGGAAGTATTAGGGTTTAGGGTTTAGGTTCTGGGAAGTATGAGGGTTTAGGGTTTAGGACGGTTTCGGGTTTAGGGTTTGGGGTTTGAGGATGTTTTTGTATGTTTAGCGGTCCTTTGTCCATCTGCACTGCTCGATGTCTAGGGGTTCAGGGCGCAGGGTTTAGGAGGATCTATAATCTATAGTGCTGGGTTTATTGCGGTTGATGATAGAAATCCTGCATTACCCATAATAAGGAATATACCATAATTCCCATAGTTTAGGGTCCTTATGATAATGCAGGATTTAAATCATCAACCGTATCTCCACCTAAGGGTTTATATAGGAAGTATCAGGCTTCGGGGTGCTGCAAAAACGCATCTACCTGCAACTAAGGGTTTAGAGCTTAGTGTTTGGATAACCTTAGGGTTTAGGATCCGTTACTTTAAGGGTTCATGTATCCGAACAGTATATACATTGGCCTTAAAGTTCTCCCTATTTAGGTACATTGGGGCCAAAGTATATACTATTTGGATACATGGACCCTTGGGGTATTAGCTCTGTGTTGTGTTTTGGGCCCTTTTTCCATCTGCTGAAGCGTGCGAGACCCCGAGATCTCTGGGAGCCTGTTAAGTCTGAGCTTGAAGATCTTGGCAGTATCGAATCCTTCAAAGGGTTCGATAGAGTTCAGCGCTCAGACAGGTTTAGGGTTTAGGATGAAAGAGTTCTGGGTTTATATCTCGACTTAAGGGTTTGGAGTTCAGGGCGTAGACAGGTTTAGGGCTTACAGTAGGATTTATAGAGCTCTGGCTTTGTATCTCCACTTTAGCAGCCCGGGGCTCGTTTAGGGTTGATATCTCCAGCAACCTCAAGCCAGAGGTTTACAGGCCTACTTGTCGGGTATCATGTGGAACTAAAGATGAACCTTTTTGGTTATATAGGGATTATGTAGGGGCTCTACTACCCAAAAAAGGTTAAAGGTTACCTACTCTACGACGCGGCAGGGATTTAGTAAGGGCGGATCATAGCGGCTAATTGAGGGGCTTCTGCTTAACACACGGCTCTATGGAGTGTCATGGCCGTTACTGCAGAAGGATTTTTCTGCCCAGCCCAATCACACGGTTAGGGTCTATAGATTATTATCCTAACCTTCTGCACCCTAACTCTCAACTCCGTCGAGAGTTTAGGGCAAACCCTACCCTAAACCCTAAACCCTGAACCCAAAAGCCCCTAAACCCTGAAGCCCAGAAGCCCCTAAACCCTAAACCCCCAAACCCTAAAATCCAGAAGCCCCTAAACCCCAAACCCTTGGGCCCCCTAACCCTAAACCTACGCCGTAAGCCCCCAGAGCCATGGTGCCTGGGCGAACACAGGGGCAGCCGCCACGGGTTTTGCCATGCTCACCGCTTGGGCAAAGCCGGTCCTGTGTGGTGATACCTCCTTGGCAGAAGAAGCGATCGAGGGTTTGGGTTTAGGGTAAAACAGTCTTATCACTCATGTACTACATTGGGTCCTAAGCCGTAGCCCGAGGTTGGTATGCTTGTTCTTTCGGGCGGCTGAGGGCTCGGGTTGAGGGTTCAGACCCCTTAAAGGTGGCCAAAACCAAACTGTATGGGAGGGCATTTGGTGTTTACGCTTCGGTGTTTATGGTTGCACATGCCTGCCTGGCCAATCTCGAGACTGTCGGTACCACACGCGGTGCACGGGGAAGTACGGAAATTCAGTGGGAAGCTTTTAACTGTTTAACTTGTGTTCATGAACCTGCAAAGCCAGTGTTAAACAGAATCTTTGCACCACGTGGGCGGCTCTGCCGCCCTAGATCGAGGTGCCTGATTCGCCTAACCCAAGGAGATGTAGGAACGACGGCCTACCCAAAATGAAGCTGAACCCTGAAAGATAGGGGAACTTCGCTGCTACGGTTGATGATATAAATCCTGCATTACCCATAATAAGGAATATATGGGAATTATGGTATATTCCTTATTATGGGTCATGCAGGATTTGTATCATCAACAGTAGGACCCCCACTAACCTAAAACTCAAACCCCTCCTTCAGGAGACTCCTGTCTTACCATGCCAGGGTTCGGGTTCGGTTGTCTGGTTCAGGGTTTACGCTTTAGGGGCTTAGGGGTATAGGGGCTTAGGGTTTAGGTGTTTAGGGGCTTAGGGGTTTAGGGGCTTAGGGTTTAGGTGTTTAGGGGCTTAGGGGTTTAGGGGCTTAGGGTTTAGGTGTTGAGGGGCTTAGGGGTTTAGGGGCTTAGGGTTTAGGTGTTGAGGGGCTTAGGGGTTTAGGGGCTTAGGGTTTAGGTGTTGAGGGGCTTAGGGGTTTAGGGGCTTAGGGTTTAGGTGTTGAGGGGCTTAGGGGTTTAGGGGCTTAGGGTTTAGGTGTTGAGGGGCTTAGGGGTTTAGGGGCTTAGGGTTTAGGTGTTGAGGGGCTTAGGGGTTTAGGGGCTTAGGGTTTAGGTGTTGAGGGGCTTAGGGGTTTAGGGGCTTAGGGTTTAGGTGTTTAGGGGCTTAGGGGTTTAGGGGCTTAGGGTTTAGGTGTTTAGGGGCTTAGGGGTTTAGGGGCTTAGCGGTTTAGGGTTCAGGGTTTAGGGTTTAGGGGCTTAGGGTTTAGGTTTAGGGTTTAGGATGCATGAGGCACTCGGAAATTCGGGCACACCCTTCACCCTAAACCACACAGCTTAGCGGCTGTAGGTGAAGTCCACCAATGTCTGCATATGATGGAGGTGCTCATACCTCCAGCCACAGAATAAAGCTTAGGTTTATAGTGCTCCGGATACTCGGTTACCCCGAAACCCTAAACCTTGCGGTTTAGGGTTTAGCATTCGGAGCTTTTGAACTTAGGGCTGGAGTATAAACATGTATGGGCGGTACCCACTAGAAAAGGGAGTGAGGGCATGTAGTAGTATAGTTGAGGGACTACGAGGGAACAAAATTGTTGATACAGCAAACTTCGACCCCTAGATTTCCCCCAACCAAAGTCGCGCAGTGCTTAGCCAGAAATAAGCTCTGAACTCCACACCCCAAAAAGGCAGACTGACTAATTCCTCTAAATGTCTCCTTTGGCGTCAAAGCTGAGTGCGACATATCTTGTCGATAGGTTCTCTGGGTAGAGGTTTGGGCAAAGACTACCGGAAATGCTACTGAAGATCATACAAATAACCTACGCCCTGAGCCCTAAACCCTATTCTTGGCCCTAGAAGCTTCAAGACCTAGCACGAAGCGCTCCGACCCCTGAACCCGAAAGCCCTAGTCCCTGCAGCAGAAGCCCAGCCCTGAACCGAAAAGCCCTAACCCTAAACCCCAATCCGTAAACCCTACAGTAAACTCCACACCCCAAAATAAGGTACCCCTAATTTTCGGAAACTCCCATTTTGTGAACAAGCAACTATGGTAAATCCCATAAAGTTGGAAACCGGATTAAGGCGAAATAGTGCTGAGGCTATGGGGTTTCCAACTCTTGGGCTTCTACTGTAGTTCGTCCATCGTAAACCTCAGCCCCCCAAGCCCGGTGCTTGGCATAGAGCAGGCCATCGAAGGAGGCATCTGCTGAGACGCGAGCAGCCCAGTACCTTTTGAAAGCATACGAAGGTTTGACGGAAGGTGTCCTCAAACAGGATCCGGAAAGGGTTCTATGATAGGGTCCCCTTCACCAGATCTGTAAGTGTTCTTTGATAGGGTTCCTTTTTGCCTGAATGTTCTTTAAGGGTTCTTTGAAGGTTCACGGATTGAGAGCTTCAGGGTACCCAGGGCTTCGGTTGGGGTGCAGGCCGAAGAAAAAGCTCACAGAAAGGTTCTGCAGGGCTTCTAGAAGGGTTTGGGCTTCAGAGGCTGGAACGACTCTCCGGGGGAGGTAGCGGGTAGGTTTTGGGTTCAGAGTTAAGGGTGAGGTTTACGGCTACAGTTCTAAAGGTCGACACAGAGAATAGAGATCTATCGATACTCCTCCTGCTGTGGATCTTAAACGACTCCAAGCTGAAAAAGGCCTTTAAGGCCTTTCAACATGCTTGAGAAGGCAGCACAACACATCATGAAGGCCAATCTGTGTGGGGCTTCCTTCCTCGCAGACTTAGCATGCCTGACCTTCATCGCCTCAACCCACTTTTCCATCCACAAAGCGCCGGCCTTGCTTTGGGGGCCATTTTCTGGCAACAGTGCGAAGCCCACCACAAAGTAAGGCAGGCTTTCGGATCTCGGAAGAGACCTAAATGTAAACCCGACGCAGAAGGTTCAGTATTTAGGGGATCCGTACTAGAAGAACCCCAAATAGTATGACCTTGACTTGACTATCAGAGCCTCAGCAATACAAGAAAGCTCCGTATACCCCAAACCCTCAAACTCAGTGTCTTTCTGAAAGTCCAGAGCTGACTTGTCTAGTATCCTAACGTTTAGGGTTAGGGTTTAGGTTTTAAAGCTAAGGGTCCGGAGTCCAAAGGATCCAATAGTTATGTGCTCGGATTTGGGATAGTAGTTGTGTAGGTTACTAATTACTTTGGAGAGTATATGATAACTCTGTACTTGGACCCTTAGGAATATATACGGCTTAGAGTACACCAAAAAAGTTAAAAGTTACCTATACTCCACTACTAGGCAAGTGGCTCGGGAAGGTTCGCCGCGAAGGTTTCCGACAAGCGTCGGGCAAAATCCTCTTCAGACCTGGCGAGACCCGCGAAGTTCGCTGTTTAAGGTTTAGGGGTTGAAAGTTCAAGGTTTAGGGCCTCATCCCTGAACCCCAAACCCTGAACCCACAGAAACCCTAACCCCCAAGACCCTAGACCCCTACATTTCTAAACCCCTGAACCCTGATCACCTCTGTAGCGCTTTGCCCAGGATGGTCTGGCCAGCCGACTTCCGGTACCACTTGCCCTGGCATCTGGAAAGGCTTGAATCTCAGGGTTTAGGGATTAGGGGTGGGCGGTTTAGGATTTAGGGTTTAAGGTTTATAGTGCCCCTAAACCTTAAACCCCAAAACCCAAAACCCTCAACCCCTAAGCCCTATATAGTGCTTCTATATGGGACTCTGTCAACTTCATAGGGCTGGACCGGGGCTTGCCCTTCACTACATCAGGGGTTTAGGGAGTAGGCCTTAGAACTGGGCCGATGTTAAGTATTGTGAACCCTACTCTCCACATTTCAATCCGGACCCTAACCCCTACAGTCTGGAAGCACTAAACCCCTAAACCCTACGCAGATTTTTTGCTGAATTTCTTAAGGTTCGGAGCTAAGAGCTTCGGGTTGAGGGCCGACTAAGCAAAGATCGACGTGACGAAGCCCGGCCGAGAAGCATGAACTTGGGTAGGGTTCACCTGCTTCAGGTTCCTCAGCATGATTTCCGAAAACAATAGTCCCTCAAAGATAGGTTATTCCGGGCTTAAGGTAGAGTTTAGGGTTTACCTGCTTTAAGGGTTTAGGGATTTGGGGGTGTAGAGTTTAGGGCCGAGAAACCATACTATTGGGGTATTTTGAGCCTTGGGGTACGCATGCCGAACGGTTTCGTGTTTAGGGATACTGGGCCTTGCTATTTTCGTCTCTGCAGGTCCAAAGAGGTAGTCCAGAAATCTTGGCTGACTACTGAACCCGCTCAACAAGTTAAACTTTTAGCCTCCTTATCATAGTTCATATAGAAACCCAAAAAGTTAAAGTCCTAAGTCCTAAGAGCCCACCAGAAGAACGCCAAGAAATCTTCAATGTAAACCCCGGACCAATGACAATCTCAGAATCCTACAGCCGGCAGACAAAGCCTCAAACACAAAACCTGAAACCCAAACCCTCAAACAAAAACCTACTTTTGTAGGCTTTCCTATTATTGTGTCTTAAAATATGTCCTTCAATTGTAAGTCATTCGGGGTTCAGGTGAAACCCAAACCCGTAAAAATCTGAACCAACCGCAATCAGGTCCTGGAAATAACTGCCACGCAATCGCATCAGCGCCAGGAATGCGAGAATCAGAATGAACCCGGACACCTTGGTCTTTCTTTGCTGCTTTACGATGCAATCTTTAAGGGTTGTCGGGTTTTGACCAACTCTGGTTTTAAAGAGTGTTTAGGGCTGCTACGGCTTCGGGGACGTTGGGTTCTTGCTCTCCTAGGCACTGTTATGGGGGATACCTCCCCAAGTCATACTCGTAATTTCTAATATAGAAACCCTGCATTCCACAAAAAAGGTACTTAGGACCTCCGCTGTGTCACCGTGAATTATGTTCTGAACTGCGCCTTTTGAGGCCAACCTCCATGGTTTTGCGGCACTTAAAAATTGCAACCCTGCAAATGCCAGCCCTATCGCAAGAACACTCGGCATGCCTACAGGTTCATGTGCAGATATAAGAAGGAAGGTTCACAAACAACATAGTTGCAGATAGATTTCCAATGACGGCACGTCGAACCCTGCAAATGCGACACATTAACCTTCAAGGGCAACTGCAAACCTGGCAAGCTCTAGCTGGCATCCGTAACAAGGACGACAAACTGAGTCGACATAGCATCGATACCAATAGAATACTATCCGTGTTTCTGCTCATAATCATGACGCTAAGCCTTACACCCGAGCAGTAAACTTGTAAAAGCCTAAATCCAAACGGAAGGGTCGATCCTGGGCACTGCGTTTGTGCACGAGGAGTTTTCGAAGTTTCCTACGCCGTTCGATCGGGCTCATGGTGCTTACTTGCTCAAGTTAAACTTCTGCTCAAGGATCCTTTGTTGAAACGCAAGTTGTTGCTCGCCTTGTCAAGGATTCTTGCCACGGCGTGTTGGTCTGTTGAATTGTTTACTTTAGTTTCGATTTGCCTCATCCAAAACCCTCACTGCACTCAACTCCACATCCCGACATCCCGACATCCCTCACGCCCGAAATGCACAAACTGGAAACCCTAGACACTTAAACTATAATCCTAAAGCCAACAGAGCCTCTGCGTACACCTCCAAGGCACTGGAATCCCAAGAAGTGCCTGGGCTTGCTTGGTGGAGCGTTCGTCCAGATTTAGGGCTCATGTAGTGGCCTTCCTCTGAAGAGGTGACTATCAGGGAAGCCAGTAGAATAGTCTGTCAGTTATTGAAAGGCCCTACACTGTATATGAGAATATCTTGCTTTTTGTTGACGACATAGTGGTAACATGACGTGGAGTGTGTTTGTGATTTAAGCTTTCGGGCGTTCAGGTTGTACCTATAGCAACCAATGTACCTGGAAAACAAGACATGGTTCTTAAACGTAGATACACATGTCCCTCTTCAAGGTGCCTTGGTTACTCTAGGTAGGCATAACCTAAACCCTGAACCCTACTTAAAGGATCATGGGAGTTAGTAACTAGGGTTATAATTAGAGTAACTGTACTTATAACCACTTATAACCTCCATTAAGGTACTTATAACCTTACTTACTAAGTCCCATGATCCTCCAAGTAGACGGCTTAAGGCTTGATCAGGATTTGCAGCTTAGGGCTTGCGGCTTCCACTTCTAACTCTGGCCTTTAACAGGTAGCTCTCTGCAGTAGGGTCCCTTTGGATGCCCAAAATTTTTACGACACCCTTTTAAACAGTACCCTGAAAGGGACCCTAATTTAGAGAACCCTAAACCTTCAACCCTAAACCCAACTACCCTGATCCCTGAGATGCAGAACCCAATAAGTACCGAGTGGCGACAAAGTAGGCGCTGTGGCCTCCCTCAGCCTTGGTCAATTCGGAGGTGGATGCTACTGGGAGTTTCTGAGGTTTTGGGTTTACAGGTGTTGCAGGAGTTGCGGGGTTTGCAAAGTTTAGGGCTTAGGAAGCTCTACATGTATAGCCATGAAGGCCCTGACCCGAATCTCCATCGTAGATTGCCTTCCTGGCTCGTGTGTAGTCTCTCAACCCAAGCAAAAAATGTGCTTTCTGCCAAGCCAGCCGCAACACCTCCAGATAAATCCTGCCCAAGCAGCTTGGAAGCTTCATCGCACCGAGTAGTGTTATGAGTTATGAGTAAGGCAGGTATAGCTACAAGAGGATGCCGCACAGTTGGGGACTCTATTGCAAGTTTTCTGGATGTATGAACTTTCGACCTTTGAGCATGCATGGAATTCTGTTGAGGGAGATGTGTCAAAGTCGTAAAGGAGGCCTTAAGCCTAAACCCTAAAGGCCCTAAAGGGTTCTAAAGACCTAGTTTTCCATATGTTTCATCTCCGTCCCACAAGCCTAGAGGCCACTTCGCCACAAGCTCAAGCTCAAAACATGAAGAGCCCTAAACCCCGAATGCTGAACTCTTATGCCCTTGTTGCGCCCCATCCCTTCCAACTATCGCCCTAAAGCCTATAAGGTTTAGGGCAATGAAAGTTTAGGGCACGAGCCATCGGAGCCAAAGAAACCCTCAAAGCGCTAATATGACATATCATACGGTAGTATAAGATACATATGGTACTGTAGCACGAAATGCCATAGTATCCCATGGTGTAAGAAAGTGTAATCTATGTCTTCTACTTTAACATGTATATTTCTACATAAATTACCGCCCTATGTAATCCTAAAGTGTACCCTGTCCTCGGAAGTCCGAACGGTGGTGGTCGCTACCGATGGTAATGCTGCCGGCGGTAAGAGAGGCAAAGCAGAGGGGTCGGGCGGCGTGGAAATGTGCCTCAGCTGATGAATTCATAAGCCCTCCCCCCTCCTTCCAAAAGAAAGTTCAGTTCTACAGAGTTCAAAAGCCCCCAGAAACCCTAAATCATCGTTCTAGAGGGGATCAATCAACTTTTCCCAAAACGTGAAAAGTGTACCCATTCAGCTGCGAAGGCGCTGCGCGAAGGGGCCAAGGCGCTCCACTGTGAAGAGGAGGCCATGTAGCCTAAACCCTAAACCCTAAACCGAGGAAGTCCCCCAAGGGATCGGCTTTTCGGGGTTTTGGGGTATGGGGGTGTAGGTTTAGGGTTTAGGGGCTCAGGGCCAAAACAAGCTCTAACTCCAAACTCCTACATCCGCATTACGCTCTAAATTAAAGTGCACTCCGTATGCCACCCTAGACTAGACACTGATGTGGACTAGTGAAGAAAAGGAGCTGTTGAAGGGCAGTGGTGAGGACATCCAACTTCCGGCTGATGTCTCTCAAGAGAGCAGCTGCTTTTAAGAAGGAAGCGACATCGGCGGGCGTCTCCACCACAATCTGAGTTCAGGGCTTTGCATGGACGGTTCTGGGTCTAGCATCGTTTTAGGGCTTTTGGACTTGAGTGTGTCTTGCATTTTCCGGCCGGGTCCGGTTGCTGAGGGACTTGGAAACTTCCCCAGAGGGCCTCAAAAAAAAAACATACTTCTGTGGGATTAAGTCCGCCCAGCTATTATACCGATATATAAGGACGTTCTTTTGGAACAAGTTCCCAACAATAGAAACTACGCACCCTCTGGGTTGTGGTGTGCCGGACAGGTCCCTGGGGCTGGTTGGATCTGTGCCTTAAACAACGGGCCATATTGAGCCGTAAGGAACCGCAGTGCTAGGTTAAAACCCAGCGGGTCGCAAGAGAATCTGAAAAAACGAGCTGCAACAACATCCTCAGCATTCGCGTGAGGGCTTCTAATAAGTGAACGTGGTTGAAGGTCAACCAAGCCCTCTACTCCTAGACCTCAAAGCGAACATGGGGAAGCCAGATAAGATCTAATTCCTGAATCGTAACCTTACCTTCAAATCCTAGGCTCTATGAAACCTTTCTTGCACGACGGACGAGCCCTTCCACAACTTGCCCTTGGTGGCGTTTGCAGCACAGCTTGGCCCTAAACACCTAAAACTCCGGAACCCTATATAAAACCCTAAACAGCCCACACGCTAAAACCCACCTTGGCCGCCATCACGAAGGCAAAAGAGGGAGTCGGCCCGCTTTCGTCCTCAGGGTCTCGCAGACCACATATATGGTACCAAGCCCTAAGGCCTCATGTAGCGTGGTCTTTGGGAGCAAATGCCTTAAACAATGAGCCCTTTGTGCCCAAGGGGGGGGGCAGAATTTCACAGTTAAGGCACGACCGAATCATCGGAATCCCGGTATAATGACAAACGTTTTAGGGCTTGCGATCAGGATTTGGGGTTAGACTCCGTATACTCCCAACACTTGAAGGCTTAGGGTTTACAATTGAAAACGTGCTGGACTCCCACAACGTGCTGGACTCATACTTAATCACAGGACCTCCCTAGATGGAAATTCTGCAATGTACCCCAAAACCTGTCCTGAGCATCAGGAGGGTCGTGGAAATCGATCATGTGCTGCCGGAGCCCGAGAACCTGACACTTCAGGCTGCAAGCTTTGGGTTTAGGATTTAGGGTTTAACGGGCTTTCAGATTTCAGCAACTTAGGGTTCCTTATCTGTACCTTCACCCCAATTGACCTATATAAATTTTGAGGCCTTCTATAAGGAAGCCATATTAAGGAACCCTAACAAAGTATGCTATTCAGGGCTAAGGTAAAGCTCATACCCTAAAGTCTAAACCTTAAACCCTAAACCCTACGCCCAAAACCCTAAAAACCTCATACCCTAAACCCTAAAAAAACAAAACCCTAAAACCCTCATACCCTAAACCCTAAAAACCAAAACCCTCATACCCTAAACCCTAAAAACCAAAACCCTCAAACCCTAAACCCTAAAAACCTTATACCCTAAAACCCTAAAACACTAAACCCCAAAGACCAAAACCCTAAAACCCCCAGAGCCCAAGGAGCCGAAGCGAAGGATCTCCGAAGGAGATGCGGCAGAGGCAAAGGATCCACGGGGCAGAGCAGTGGGTCACAGGCCAGGACGATGAGGCCACCTAAGGGTCCAAGTACCTAGTTATCATACTCCCAAAATAGTAACCTACAAAACTACTATCCTAAACCCCAGTCCCTGATTACTGGGTCCTTTGGGCCCTTAGGGTATACAGTAGAAGCCAGAAAGTTGGAACATGGGTTTAGGAGGATTAGTGCTAGGACCCCTTGTCCTTTACCTTAAGGACATGAGGATAATGATGTTCCAACCTTCTGGCTTCTACCATAAGGGCTGCTCAGCTGTAGTGTTTAGGGTTTAGGGTTACGGTTATAGGGCTTAAATAGGAGTGCAGGAGCTTTTGATGTAGGGCTTGAGGGGCTTGGAGGGTTTGGGTTTAAGGGTTTATGGATTACTGTAACTCCGCAGAACCTACCTTTTTGACGACTGGGTAAGGAAGTCACATGAAGGTAGCCTTCTTAGGGTCCAGGTAGGGCTTAGGAGTTTCTGTAACAGTTTCAGTCTAGGAAATTCGGGTTGTGCATAGTGTAAAAAAACAGGGACTAACAAATAAACATGATACTGAAATTTTCTAGTTTCATAGTACAGTAATGTAAAACACATAAACATATATATATATATACATTAGTATAGTAATATATATATATATATATATATATATATAGAGGGACTATAAGAGAAGAGCAATGTTGCCAAGCATTCCGACACCAATAGCAGGCTTCAGGCTTCTAGGTCTCTGGGGTCGGGGATCTGAGTCGCAGACTCTCTGAATACGACGGGAAGGGCTTAAGGCTCCCAAGACTGAGGATTCTCAGGCTTTAGGGTTCCTCTTTTGAGTAGAACTTCGGGGTCGATTGCAGGAATTGGTTATATATATATATATATATATATAATTATATATATAATATATATGTGTGTCTGAGGGCTTCTGGGTTTGGGCTCTGAAGTCAAGGTTTAAGCTTTCAGGCTCTTGAGGTTATAAGGTTCAGGGGGCTTCATGACATTACCGGTCGGGGTGAGTCGCAGCCCGAAGTCCTGAAGCCACTCCCTGACAAAAACCGAAAGCTCCAGGGTTGAAGCTAAGTTTTAGCCTGCTGACTTACGTGGAGGTTCATGGGTAGTTATAGGTGGGGTTGAAAGTCCCTTAATATGTGTTGTATTGATAGTTACCCTACTTATAACTCCACTTATGACTACCCATGAGCCTCCAAGTAGACGCCAATAAACCTTCTTCAAACCTGAACTCTAAACACCCTTAGCCCTAACCATGAATCCAGAACAACTCCAAGCCGCGAAGGGTGGCCGTTGCGCCCCGAACCATGGCACGACTGAAGATGTTGCTCAAGGCACTTCCGAAGACGACCAGGTTTCCTTCGTGTCAAGACTACGCTGCCCCTACCTAAAATCTGTCGTTTTAGGGTTCCTGATGATGACTTCCGTATACAAACCGGAAGTAGGCAGGACATGGAAGAAAGAGCACTTTGGAGTGCAAGGGTTCGTGATTCTGGCTTTAGACTAGGGGATCTTCGCGGGGTTAGAGCTACAAGCTTGGGCTGTAGGTCTCGGATTTGGGGGTTCAAGTTTTAGGGTGAAGACTAAAAGGGGCTTCCGGGCTTAAAGACCCAGAGAGTCCACACATACTACCATTATGGAATTAGGTCCGCAAAACCATAATCGGGATGGTTGGGACCCAATTCCCCTGGGTTAGGGTACATATATAGGCCCACAGAACGATGGGATCAACATACAGTAATACTGCTTTAGCCAGGAGAGGCTTAGGGACATTTCTCAGCTCGGAAGAGCAGCAAATTATTGAGGATTAGGGTTTGGGGTTTAGGTCCCAAGTTTCCGGAAACGGACTGCGCCACCCCGGAGCTGCCCCAGTTCAGAGTCCAGCCCGTGGCAAAGTCGAGCGAGCTGTCCACGATCGCACAAAGCACGGTCACTGGCGAGTCAAAGACAGCCTTTATTCGGATACTCCCTGCAGGGCAACCTGATGTCTTTGGATGGCCGCAGAATTACATTAACACGCGAGTAGGACAGTACCTCATAAGACGATGGCAAAGTTGAAGTCCAAAAGCATCTCACATTGCAATCTAGCAGCTGGCACAAGTTCGAGGAGAGAAGCTGGAAGGCATCTGCCACCAGCCAGCTTTCAGGGTGTACTCAGTCGCATCATTGTGGACAGATGCCACCACTCTTGAAGGGACCACCAGCTCTGTGCAAAGGGTGTCCTAGTTGCTGGAGTCCATCGCCCCCCCACACACAGCTGACATTTTATGTGTAATATAGGGGCCTCAATAATTGGGAAAAATGTAGGGGCCCATTATACCATATCTATAAATATCTATAATAAGGAACCCCAAAACAGTATTGGTTGTTCTTTAGGCCCCAAAGTACCAAGAGCGGAAAAGCGGATCGAGATGCCCCTCAAAGCATCAAGACTACTCTTCAATTACCAACCTCGAAGACAACCTCCGTAAACTCCAAACCCCATAACATCCCATAACATGCCCTGAGCATTCTCCTTGAAGAAGCTCACTCCACGGATGGTGCGCTCTTGGCCGCAGCGTGCATCCCGACGGTTTACGTAGACGGCCCACGGAGAGATGGGGCTGGCAACAGAAGGGTACCTTGGTTTTCTGCTTATGGAAGGGTACCTTCATGCTTTGCTTGCCCAGAGGGCACCAAAATACCATGGTTTTGAGGACCTAGTTCCACACTATAGTAGTATATATACATATATACATATATATATATATATATATATATATATACCCTCTGGTTTCTTGCGTATGGACCTTATGGATCCTTTTTGTTGATTCAGAGCGATCCGGTTGATTGAGCTTGTTTTGGTATCTATAGGGTTTCCTTTTCGGGTTTACGGAGATGTTCTTATGGGCCTGGAATTTCCATGCATGTATGTAATTTGCAAACTTAGCCCTTCGTTCTCACGTCGCACTTATTCAAATTCCTTTTGCTCACTATATACATATATATATACACACATACATTTGTCAAATGTATATATACACACATGTATGTACCTGTGCGTATGTAACCTAGCTACTTATCTACATACTGGTTCATGTTCATGTACAAGCTGGGTACCTAACTGGTAAAACTCATCTTCAGGATGTTTATGCTTAGCAATCTTCCAGCTGCTAACCTACTTGTCGGGTATCATGGGGAACTAAAGGTTAACCTTTTCGGTTATATAGGGGTAGGGGCTATACTACCCAAAAAAGGTTAAAGGGTACCTACTCTACTACTACCCTAAGGCTCCTAAGAGGGTCTTGGGCTTTCTGGGGGAGGGTTTCGGCTTTGGGGGCTACGGTCCGAGATCTCACTACAAGGGTCCAGGAGCCTTGAGGCAGAGCTAAGGTACTCCTCGGTCGCCAGGTTGATTGGATTGAGGCTGTCGCCCTGGAAGTAGCAGCGGGCCTGATTCGGGGACAAGGTGGCATTGTCTTGTTCATGAGAAAAAACATGTTTTTCATGAAAAAAACGGGCCTGATTCGGGGACAAGGTGGCATTGTCCAGTCCCAGGAAGAAGTAGATGCCGTGGCAAAGGCTGCATGCGGTGCAGATTTCTGCACAATCCTATGCTGAACTTAGAACCCTAGCAAAGTGTTTAATTCTAGCTGTTTCTTAGGGATTAGCAAAAATTATGATTTTAGCTGTTTAGGGATTATACTAACCAAAAATTAAAACAAATCTAAGTACCCCTAAGAATCTGCGAGGCCAAGGCAGTCTGCGGAGCCGCAGCCGCCATCCTGGGCTCTTGCTAAGGAAGTTACATCCCAGAGACTCCAATATCCCTTAATTAAGGAATATTCCTGAAATCATATTAGGGATCCTACTATAACTTAACGTATACTCCTTAATTAAGGGATATTGGAGTCTCTGGGATTAGGGTTTGTTAGGGTTTAGGGAATATGGTTTAGGGGTAGGGGTTTAAGGGTTAGGGGTTTAGGGTTTAGGTTTTAAGGAAGTTACCGTGACGAGTGTTAAACATGCGGATGTGCAACCGCTTGAGCAGATGCTGACAAAGGCTTTGTACTACCTCAGTGGCCGTCGGGCCCGAGCCGAAAAGTCAATTTACGTACCCTGATGAACCTGTGCCTTTCCCTTTGGCTCTAAGGACTCATATTTTAAGGCTTTTGGGCCCAAAGACCATACTGTATAAGGAGTTTTTGGCTATTTTGAGCCTTGGGGTTTTAAGAAGCAGATAATTGTTGGCAGAGATGTTCTACTACCTCCGTGGCCTTGGAGGTCTGGCCACCCTCGATTTGATCGAAAAGCGTCACCGTAATCTAAGCTACCATATTCATAAAGTAAAGAGTATGGTTTCCTTATGCTGGCAAATATACAGTAGACCCCATCAAGTTGGAAACCGGATTGAGGCCAAATAGTGCTGGGATTCCCCATACATTACTCTCAAGGATTGAGGCTATTGGGTTTTCAACTTCTGGGCTTCTACTGTATTACATTAAGCTCTCAACAAGAGCCCAGCATCTGGGAGAGGAGCTCTCATCCATGCGCTGCAATTGACATCATTTCGGATATGGGTCTTGGCCCAACCGCAGTAATGGGTCTGCAGCTCGGTGGCGATTGGGACACCTTGCAGTACATCTCTTTGACTTGACACTATGGAAGGCCACTCCGAAGCTGCTGCAAACCGTCTAATGTAGGAACCTGATTAAGAAGCCTTGGGCCTTTATTAGGGTTCCTCTTATGAATCCTACTATTTTGGGGTTATAGGGCCAGGGTTTCTTAATCAGGTTCCTACATCAAACCCTTCAAGTTCTCACCCTAAACCCTAAACCCCAAAGCCAATCAGTCTGGGCGACTGTCTCTGGCGTTGAGGAGTGAATACCTGGGTTGGCTTTTAAACACCCTGAAAAATATTCATATATATATATATAGGGTCCCTTATAAACCCAAATAAGGAAAATAAAAAATGTCCCAAAATCCAACCTAGATACTCCTGCATGCTGCCCATCTCAGAAATGCAGATTGCACTGATCCGCGCCCCGATATGCCAGGACATACGAAGCGAGTCGAAGAGATCTGCGGATCAAAGTGCATAACAAGAGCCCAGATAGCCCAATGTTCCTTAATCAAACTTCAAGGACTATACCTGAAATATTCGGGGCCGGGGCCTTAGCAGTCTGACTTACGGTATATTCCTTAATGAAGAGGCATTGTTGCGGCTTTCACTAGATGCAGTCCTACTTTTCAGCATATCGCCCCGAAGGCCGAAACACTCCGGTTGGGAGCTGCTGCAGCAAAGGGCTACATAATACTGTGGAAGGACAAAATCCTGCATTACCCATTTTAAGGAATATACCATAGTTCCCATAGTTTAGAGTCCTTAGGGTCATGCAGGATTTCGTCCATTAGCAGTAATACTGAGGATTGCGAGGACGACTCTAAATGCTTTTTCCCCATGGTAGCACTGCTGCAGCAGGAAACGCCTACAGTAGAGCATGAACAGAGTCGAAGAAAGCACGCACCGCAAGCCGTGTACTTGGAGGGTCGGGGGACTTAGTAACTGGTTATTTTAGGGACTAATAAGTACCATAACCCCAATTAGGGTCCCTTTTAGGGTACTTATAAGTCTACTTACTACCTACTTACTAAGTCCCTGAACCCTAAACCCTATAGTACCCCTATAGATCCCTTCAAAGGAACCCTTATAATCCCCTTTAAAGGAGCCCTTACTTACTAAGTCCCCCGACCCTCCAAGAACCCTCAAGGATGCCCCCCGATAAGAAAGCCCTAAACCCTACCTTAACCCTGAAGAACCTACCTTTTTAGGGTTCCCTATTATGATTTCCTTATATAGGTCCTGAAAAAGGTAGGTTCTTCAGGGTTAAGGTAAACCCTAAACCGTGGAGCCCCCCGATCTCCTGTGTCAATGTAGTGTTCGCAAACTGGAGAGCCCGAAGCCTGCAATGGCGGAGTGTCGTCAGAAAAAGAACTACAACATCTGCCTTGAGGATGCAGCAACATAGTATAAGGTTTTTGGGGTATACTATACTACAATTATAAGAAGGAACCCCAAGAATACGTAGTGCTAGGCAGTTTTGTAGGCTTCTAATACAGAGCCTTAATTACTATAGATCCCTTATAGACCCCTCTTCAGGATCCCTTCAAGGAACCCTAAGGAATAGTATTGGGGTAGACACCCTTAGGAGGATAATGATCATGACGATGATGCTTAGGCAGGTGGAGATGGCGCTGGCCTTGCAGCTGGTGTGTGGCGAAAGCGAAGGTAGTGATAAGCATGATGACAAGGATAATGATTATGATGATGATGGTACTGATGATGATCTTGAGGATGACGAGGATGATGACGTTGAAGATGTCAGCCATCTCCTGTTACGATTGTGGCGATGATGCAAACGGTGGGTCGGAATTGCCTGTCGGCTGTTGATGTTGGCCAGATGAAAGTCAGCCACGCTGCTACTTGCTTGTTTATAAGTTGACTATCATGTTGGCTTATGGGTAGGTCACTCGTTGCTTAGCATCTCGCCGGCTACGACAAGCTGTCTTGACAATCAATGCTGGGGTTGTTACTGTTGTTGTTGCTGCTGCTGGCGCGGCTGCTGCAGCTGCTGCTGAGCGGATGTTGCTGCTGATGCTGATGCTGATTCAGTTGCTGTTGCTGCAGCTGCTGTTGTTCTTGTCTTGGTAGTGGTGGTGGTGGTGGTGGTGGTGGTGGTGGTGGTGGTGGTGGTGGTGGTGGTGGTGGTGGTGGTGGTGGTGGATGTTGCTGATGTCGTTGTTGATGTTGTTGTTGTTGCTGCTGTTGATGCTGCTGCTGCTGCTGCTGCTGCTGCTGTTGTAGTTGTAGTTGTAGTTGTAGTTGTAGCTGTAGCTGTAGCTGTAGCTGTAGCCGTAGCCGTAGCCGTAGCCGTAGCCGTAGCCGTAGCCGTAGCCGTAGCCGTAGCCGTAGTGGTAGTGGTAGTGGTAGTGGTAATGGTAGTGGTAGTGGTAGTGGTAGTGGTAGTGGTAGTGGTAGTGGTAGTGGTAGTGGTAGTGGTAGTGGTAGTGGTGATGGTAGTGGTAGTGGTAGTGGTAGTGGTAGTGGTAGTGGTAGTGGTAGTGGTAGTGGTAGTGGTAGTGGTAGTGGGAGTGGGAGTGGTAGTGGTAGTGGTAGTGGTAGTAGTAGTAGTAGTAGTAGTAGCAGCAGGAGTAGTAGTAGTAGTAGTAGTAGTAGTAGTAGTAGTAGTAGCAGTAGCAGTAGCAGTAGTGGTCGTGGTCGTGGTCGTGGTCGTGGTCGCGGTCGCGGTCGCGGTCGCGGTGGCGGTGGCGGTGGCGGTGGCGGTGGCGGTGGCGGTGGCGGTGGTGGTGGTGGTAGTGGTAGTTGTAGTCGTAGTTGTTGTTGTCGCACTATTGTTGCTGTTCTCGTCGTCGTCATCGTGTTTGTTTTGGGTGGTGGTGTTGGTGGTGGTGATCTTGATGATGCTGATAAAGACGGTTGCGATCGTCGGTTGCTCCTTCGCACGGAAGGATTCCTAAACCTGCATGAACCCTGAAGCAGATCTTTTTCAAGTTCCAAAACTACAACTCGAAGGGTTTAAATAGCTGCAAAGCTCGAGGCCAAGCAGCGGTTGGGATGGGTGCAAGGTCTGCAACATGAGCGCAAGGCTCGCCCACAGCCCAGCTGTTCTGGAGACAGTTGCCTGGGGTTGGGCTTCAGAGCTGTAATTTAGGTGCCTTAATAATTAGAATAGGGTATCGGGGTACATTATGTTAGAACTATTAACTATAGTAAGGAATGCCCGACATCGTATAGACAATTATCAAGGCCCCATATTAGGGCTTGTAGGGTTTAGGGTTTCAGGCTGAGTGGAGGGCCTTGCATCAGCTCTCCGCGTGATTGCTCTGCTCATATTTGTGTTATTATGGATATAGGGTTTAGGGGTGAGGGTTTGTGGTTCTGATGTTTGTATGATTAGTCTTGTAACTAGTGTGAAGATGTCTAGATTTTTTTGTGAGAGGGTGTGCATAGCTATCGGGGTTGGGGCATAGGGTTCAGAAGGTACAGCGGCACAGAGGGTTTAGGAAAACAACACCAACAAGACAGACATGCAACCTACATGGATTCGCTAGAACGAGACAGAGTCGCAGCATACCTGAAGATATGCGAGTTTCCGAAAATTAGGGGTACCTCATTTTGGGTCCTTAGAACAAGGATCCTACCATTTAGGGTACTATGTTAGGGTCCCCTCTTTTCGGAAACTCCCATATATATGGATCGACCCAGAACCAGTATTTTCGGACCTCGCTGGTAGCCTGGAGCAAGAACTCTTCCTCTACTACACTCTGCGACCTCTACAAGGCCAATCCAAGCCATGAACCCTTCCTGGCGATCCAAAAACCTACCGTTTGAAGGGATATACCCTTTGATTACCCCTAAACCCTAAACCCTAACCCTGAACCCTAACCCACCCAAAGCCCCCGAACTATTCAGGGGGCCGCTGCAACCAAACCCAAAGCCTCAACCCCCAAAGCTCCAACACATCCTACCACCATGGGCGATTAGACCTTATGGGTACCTTAATCTACCCTTAATAGGGTCCGAATAGGGA